AAACCCACTTCTACTAATGTTGGTTGCAAATTCAAATCGAAATCCAAGGATCTTGCTTGTGAGAATGGTGTTTGTACAGATCCTGATAATTATTGCTTGGTAACTAGGATTTAAAAAATTTGGGATAATGCTGGGTTTGGCAAGAAATTTGTTAATTCTGGGACCAAGATCATTAAACTTAATTTAAAAAACAATAAATTGATTAAATTGTCTTCTCTAAACTGGAACAGCAGTCTTGATAAGCAATCAAAGTTAGAGAAAGATTTTCTCACAGAATCCTATCAGCTTTTTGACATCTCGACTAAGAATTTTGAAAAAGATATTTTTGCTGATAGATTGAGAACAGATGATGCCAAGCTGGAAGATATAATGTAAATTCATTAAATAATACTTTTTTTAGTAGTGAGATTTTCTTTCCAATTTAAAGTAACTTAAGTAATAGCATATTATTTCCTTTTAAAAATTTACGTTTAACTCTTTCCATGGTTTGGTCATCTTTCAATAAAAACTAGAACAATTATTAATTTATTTATAAATGTCTTAATAGATTTAATATTTCTTAGTTTTTATGAAGACCAGAAGTTGGATAGGAAAGGATATATAGGAACAAAAGTCAATGAAGACTACAGTAGAAGAGTACTGGATGCAAACAGGAGAAAGAACAAGCTAGATAAGTTGAGAGAGAAAGAATTAGAGAGACAGAAAAACTTAAAAGATATCAATGATGTTTTGTTGTCTCATGACTCCATGACAGAAAAGATTCAATTCAGCAGTGCGGAAGAAAAGTCAAACAAGGACTCTGAAATCAGCAAGGAAGAAGATTTCTTGGGTAATGGGGGGAACGCAGGTATAATATTATTTTGATAAGTTAGTAAATTTCGGAAAGTTGTAATTTTCGGAAGCTAAATGTACTGCAGCGCTTGAAATAATTATTCAATGGTTGCCGATCAACATTGATCGGCTGAAATAAATAAAATTAAAAACCAGACGATCAAATCATTTTTTAGGTGATCAATGTTTTAAAAAATTTTACTAAAATTTAAAATGCAATTTTTTTTTTAACCTTACATAATCAAATTGCTTTAAAATAAATTTGTTTATTTAAAACTTTAATAAACGTTTGTTTTTCCGTAATTTCTATTCAAATGTCTTTTCTTGATTATAAATAAAACATTGCCGTTTTATTTTTTTTAATTATTTTGTTTAAAATTCAAATTAACATTAGTTTTGCCGCATTTATTCTAATTATTTTATTTAGAATTATGATAAGATAATTTTTGATTTTTTAAAAAAAATTTATTTAAAGATGTTCGTTTAAAATAAACACTTTTGCTCTCACTTTGTGCAACGGTACCGTTGCTTTATTTTTTTCTTAAAGTCACGGTAGTGATTTCTAATTGGTTAATTTTTTTTTTTTTTATTTAAAGAATGCATGCCAAAACCAAAACCCTTAATTGATGTTTGTACACAGTGGTGTAGCTAGATAACCAAGGCCCCTGAGGCAAATTAAAAAATGGGTCCCCACTACTCCGTAAGCGGATTAGGTTTTATCAAATAAAAATATGAAATATACAGATACTCAGAATGCTAAGCTACTTAAGCTGTTTTTTGTGCACTGCAGGCCAGATAATAAAAATATTGAATAGTAACAACATAAATTACAATTAATAGTAATTGTAATTTATGTTGTTAAAAATAAATTGGTGTAGGTTTGGCTAATAAAATGAAATGGAGAAGATTTAAGGGTTTATTATATAAAGGTCGGGTCTATAAGGGTTTATTATATAAAGGTCGGGCCTAAAGGTCAATTTCTGGTAAGGATTCGAGGGCCCTCTGAGCTTAAGGGCCCCGGGGCACTACCCCGCGTAGCCCCTATGTAGCTACGCTACTATATGTACACTCACTGTACCTATCCCTAAATCAGTGGATGTATGCACACTTACTGCGCCTATCCCTAAATCAGTGGATGTATGTACACTCGCTGCACCTATTCCTAAATCAGTGGATGTATGTACACTCACTGCGCCTATCCCTATATCAGTCAATGTTTATAAATAATAAACATAAATGTAACTTTCAATATACATCAATTATAATAACTTTCAATAAAAATATTGTTAAAAAACATTTAAAAACATGTTTCAGAATGCAGGACTCGATCCCAGAACTCCCAGAACCCAAAAATTTAAACATAAATTAATTTTTGATTTTGCTATTTTTTTATTTTAATTATTTTATTTAGAAAATAAGTAAAACGTTTGTTTTGTCGATTTTATTTTATTTAGAATTTAAATAAATTGTTTGTTATTAAATTAAAATGAATTAAATTTAAAATAGAATTCATTTTAAAATTATTTTGATTTTCATTTAATATTTTTAATTTTCTGTATTTCAAATGTTTTTCTATTAATTATTATTAAAGTTTGAAAAGCAAAATTTTAAGTGAAGTATTTAAAGCTGGAGGTACAGAAATTAATGATATACCGCTTTTACGAAGCACACTTCATAGAAAAAAGTTCAAATATGTAGAACTTGAAGGAGACTTGGAGTGGATTTCAATAACTAATCATCTTAAAGGCCGACAGCTTATTTTTTATTTTGATACCAAACTGTTGGAATAAATTACCACTGAGCTTAACATTATTCAAAAAATTGAGCAATTTGCAGTCTCAGTGAGTTCCCCGGATGACGATACCATGGAAGACCATCTTTTAGGTGTTGTTCAATATCCCTCTTCAAAGGGAGTTGACCAAGCAGAACAAGTGCACAATCTGTTAAAATATTATAGATGTAAAGAACAGATCATTGGTATATTCTGTAATACAACTGCAAGCAATACAGGCGGAGTCAATGGAGCAATCCAAATTCTTACAGATATTTTGAAATTACCAATGTTGTGGATATGTGTAGGAGACACATATATGAAGTACATATATCTCACTATATGGCTGCTCTTATTGGTGAGAAAACTAAAGGTCCAAGAAGAACTCTTTATGTCAAGCTAAAGAACAAGTGGCCTGAAATCTGTGAGAAAGTTAATGAAGTGAAAAATTTATGTAAATTGGACTGGCAAAGAGATGATCTGAAGATTGGCTCTGTTCTTCGCACTGTTGCAGAGGAAGCTAAGACATTTTTGACTAATGCAAATACTGATATGGTGTTTTCAAGGAATAATTATGGTATAATTTGTAAGCTTGCCTCCTTCTTCCTTGGAGCGAAAGTACAAGATTTTAAGTTTCATCAACCTGGCGCCTGCCATGAGGCAAGGTTTTTAGCATACACGAATTACATCCTGACTCTTTATATGACCGAAGATATCAGTAATGTCTTGATAGAAAAAGAAGTGCTGCAGATGAATGATGCAAGTTTGTTCATTGCAATTTGCTATGTTCCATAGTTTTTGAAACGTTTTTATTAGGATTTTAGGCTCCCTACAATGATTTGAAAGCTATCCAGACAGCCTATGCATTGAAAAAAGTTAGTAAGAATATTGGAAATGCTTTGCTTCTCAGCATGGGATGCCATACGTGGTACTTAACTCCGCAACTCTGTGTTTTATACTTTGGGGATGAATTTTGGGGATGAAAAGAAGTTCCTTCTGAAACAAAGCTAAAAAATGCTGTTAGCTCTGATTGAGTTTGAAGAGCCAAATAAATTACAGCATTGTAAACCATCAAATGTACAAATTGGAGAGACCACAGAGCTACCTGAGTTGATTTCTGAGCAAAGCTACCTTCTCTTCAAACATTTTAAAATATCAAGAGCAAGTATAAAAGAATGGCTCAGTAATAATCTAAATACTATAGATGTTTTTAACCATCATTAGTTGCTAGATTTTATTGTATGAATCAAAACCATATTTGTTGTAAATGATGGTGCAGAAAGAAACATTAAGCTCATTAAAGATTTTATTTCAGTTACTAGAGATGAAGATCACCTTCAAAATGTACTTTGTAGAAATAAAAAGTCTAGAAAAAACTTGACTAAAAGTATGACTAAAAAGGAGCTTGGGAACTGTTCAAAAAGTTGTATTTTTTGAGAAATGTTTCACTGCAATAAAATCTTAAGTTTGCTAATAAATATTAGTTTTCATGTTTTTTTTGTTTGTTTGTTTTTTTTAATTTATAAATATAAACTATAAAGTTAAATGGTAGAAAAAAATTGGAAATGATTTATATGCATCTAATTGTTTTGTTTTAATTTTCTAAAATGTTAAAAAATTGTGTTTTCTATTAATGTTAAGCCAGCTTAACATTAAAACAGTAAGCCTCAGATTTTACATCTAGCACTTCCTGTCAAAATAAAACCGTCAAATTTTTTTTAGGACGTATTTAGGTCACATAGAATGGGAATCAGTAGAGAGCTTTTTTTTTTGGGACACCCTAGTATGTATGTATGTATGTATGTATGTATGTATGTATGTATATATATATATATATATATATATATATATATATATATATATATATATTTATTTGCATTCACTCCCAACAAGGCTGCAAGCAACCACTATTAAGTTGGGAGTTACTAGGAAAAAAAAGAACAGAGTTATAGAGCAAGGAAACGGTTGACAGAAGACTTGAAAAGTCTTCTGTCAACGGTTTTTAAACTTATTTCAAGTTGAAATAAGTTGAAATAATTTGAAAATTTTTGGGTATGTTATGTAAATATTGTCACATCTGCATTACTTCGCTATATATTACCTTTCTATGTATGGTAATATATAGCAAGTTTTTAATTCATTTTAATAAAATTGGCTATCTGTTATGTGAGCTGTTTTTTTTTTCTAATGTTATTACTAACCCATACTAATCCAAATTTTTATGAAGTATTATGGAGTACAATTGCATCCAAACTGCTGTATATGATGAGAAAAAATGATTTATTATGTGGAAAAAAGATTACACATAATGAGTAAACATTTGTAAACTAAAAAATCATTAAAGGAAAAAATATATACATTACTTTTTAAGCATCTGATATATAATAACATTTTTCAGACAGAAGAACAAATAGTTGATATAGAAAGAAATGAAAATGATCAAGAACAACGATACCAAAAATACATTTGTAAGGATATTTGTCATGTTTTTAAATTGTTCTTGTAAATCTTTAGTAATAATTTTGTTTCTATTTTCTATTAAAAATTGATAGCAAATCTCAAAGAGCTGCAAAGCGAAGAAGCTCGCCAAGCAACCAACATTCAGGCTCAAATTGAAGAGTGCAAAGCAAGATGGGAAGGAAAGTTGAAGGAAGTAGATGAAGTGAGGTAATTCAATCACAATTTTTTGGAATTAAAAACGTTAAAAAAAATATTGAATTTTCTAAAAAAGGAGTCAAATGTAACTAACATTGGTTAATTTAGTTGATTTAATATAATTAATTGTTGTCATTAGTAAAGTTTTTAATGATCTCAAGTACAATATTGGAAAGAATGCTATCAGCAGCCATTCTGGTAAAAAGATTGCCAGTACGGTGAGACAATCAATTACTTATCTATTATCAATATTTAAAAATTGTTATTAAGTAAGTTATACAAAGAAAACTAATATTTATTTTTCTTATTATTGTTTAATAATAAATATTAAAAATAATAAATATTATAAATAGCAAACTTTAGTTTTCTAGCTTTATCATCGCTATTCTCTTTTTGAAATTCTTTCCCTTCATAAAACATATACTCTATTTCTATGTTTAGAATATTTTGTCAGGTTTTAGTTTTTTTTTTTTAAAAGCAAACATTTAAAAATATTTTAACAAAGTAAGAAAGTTTAAAAAAGTGAAGAAGAAGATTGTTTAAGATGAAAGATAAAAAAAGTTTAAAAATTTCTACTTAACTATTAACAAATCTTCTTATTTTTAACAAATCAATAATAACTAAAAATAAAGTTAATATTTTTAAATACAAATCTTATAGTTTTTATATTTATGATATTAATCACAATAAAAAAAAAAATTATATTTTAACTGAAATATATTTAAGGACTTGGAAATATACCGCCTTGCAGAAATAAAAAAAGAACAAGAAGTCATTGCTGTAGGTAACATTTTCTAAAATGCATTAGAGTTTAAACAAATATAAATTATTTTAGTTCAGCTTGTTTTAGATTTTGCAACCTAAGTGCTTATTTATAATATAGTATCAAATCTTTATACTTTAATTGTTAATTTATGTAACATTGTACTTTATTGTGTCAATTTAGAATTTATTTTGTTTTCAACTTTGTTCTATTAATTTTTTAAACTTGTTTTATTATGCTTTAACTCCAAAATGGCTGATTAATTAAAGTAGTAAAAAAAAACAGTTATGTATATCTCCAAACAGATCCTAATTAATCAACAAGCTTGCTTTTTATAATTTTATAATGGAAGCTGGACAAAATGTCTTTTCTTGTCATTCAATAATGAAATTGCAGTTATTTTGTTTATTTATTTTATAAAAATTATTGTTTTTAAAACATTTATCTTTAAATAAATAATAAAAAAATTTATTTAAAATATAAAAAAAGTTATGTAATGTTTAATCTTATTAAACAATACTTACGTTTTTTATTTTTTTGTTAAAAATCTGATAATTTAATTTATTTATTTAAATATAATTCACCTCCCTAAGGTAAAGAGGGACACTACAGTCTAGAAGTTTAATTGTGGTTACAACCTTCTCTCAACTTTTTAACTCCAAACACGAACCTTGACAGTCAAGGTGCAAAGAAATAATGCTGTGCAAAGAAATAAGTAAATCAAATTAAATTCCTGATGTAGTGTCAAGAATTGTCATACAATGAATGAGAACTGCGGAAAAAAAGTCAACGGATGGAGTAGTACAAGTTGTCCAGGCCTGCATGGTGCAGTTGAATAGAGTTTTGTGGAAATGGCCTGGATTAGCAAGCATAGAACTGGATGCCACCAGGAAGTACTGTGAGGTTAAGAGGGTGAACAAAATTGGCAATAAAACCAATGGAGGTGCCCTCAAAACTATAGCAGAGTTCTCGGTGAACCAGCACCTTGTTATTGGAAAAGAATATAAGACCTGGAAACAAAATTCTAGTTTTGAAGGCAATGGCAGGAGTGATTCCAACAAAGATCAATCTGTCGAGAGGCATAGAAGACCAGACTCTCAAAAAATGTTGGTGCTATAGTTTAACAGCAAAAATTGATGGTCACATCTTGGCCGGATGTCCTACCAGCTGGGATGCATACTCAAAATGTCATAACCTGCTTTGTTATAACCTTGCCAAAGAGCTAAGACTCAATAGTGGGCCAAGCAGGCAGGTGTGGCAAGAGGATATGTCTTTCAGGGAATGGCAGGTGTTACAAGCCCAATATTGTTGTAAAAGATGGTGGTGTGATTACTGTCATTGATATGGCATGTCCGTGCAAGAAATTGAAAAGACACTTAAGTCAAAGCGAAAATACAAAAATTGCTAAATACGAGCCACTCAGGCTTGTTAGGAGTTAGACTCAAGAACTTGAGGGCAATAACAGCAGAATTTCTGAGGAGATATCAGTTATAGCTATTGCAGTAGGGGCAATTGAAACAATTACGCGTAAAACCCAGTGGATACTTAGCAAGCAATTGCTTAAATTCTATATTTTCTTGTGAGTTAAAAATTCCACAGGAAAATAGAAAATTTATATTCAAACAATTATGGACTTTAGATGACAATAGTAAAAATGCTTTTTATGCAAAATTCACAAAAATGAATGAAAAAGTAGTTAAAACTAGTTCTATAAACACAGAAGAAAATATTCTTATCAATGTTTTTTTCATTATTTTTTTCATTAAGTAGCTTTATTCATAGAGTTTATAAAATGTTTTTTATCTAATACTGAATTTAATATGGATTTTTCATGATTAAAATAAAATGGTGTGACTGCTGTGAAGAAAATAAAATGAATATGGAGGAAGAATTTAACAGTTTAAACAGTATTAAAAATAATTTTAGTGTCACATTTTTTTAAAGACAAATTCCTACCAAGAAAAGAAGAGTGATAGAGAATCCAGAGAAGTTGTTTTATGTTTTGATATGTAAAAATGTTATTCAGCTGTTTTGGAATGAGTGTACTGATAGTAGAACTGCTAACTATTTTGCATCACTGTCAGTAAAGTTATTAGTTTTAGAACATCTAAATGCAACAGATGTTTTTTGGTCTGATTCATGTGTACCACAAAACTGGTTTTTATTGCTTTTGCTTTAAAAGGGTTTATACTAGAAAAAATTAGTTTATACTAAAAAATTAGGTTAAGACAATTAAACAAAATTTTTTAGAAAAGGGTTATCTTGTGCAAGAATTTAATAATGCTCATAGCTTAATTAAAAAAAACCTTAGATACAAATAAGGTATTTAGCCCAATTAGCATTTATTAAAAATTAAACAATTTGTGTATCAGAAGAAATCCCTAACTTCATATCCTTTAGATGAGGTCATCAGATTTTTTTTAACTTTGAAAAATTATCAAAGGTTATGAGTTTTTAAAATTTTTTTCTAGATAAGCAGCAAAAATAGCATTCAAATATGCTACATATCATAACATACAAGTACTGTCACTCTATCACCAGAAATATGTTTAAGTATTTAGAAAAAAATAAAGGATATCACAAGTTGGCACAAAAACATTTGCAAGAAATAGTTCCGAGTTTCTCATTTGTCACAGCTTACATATTGTCACATCGCATAGAAAAAAAATTTGTCCTTAAGCATAAAAAAATATTCGTCCTTAAGCATAGAAAAAAACAAAGACAAGTTAATTGTATATTTTATGCTTGAAAGTTACTGTGCTTTTTATGAAACAATCTTACAATAAAAAGATTTTTTATTATACTTTTTATTTAACAAACTAATATTTATTATTGAAATAGTCTTTGATTCTTACTGTATGTTAAAATTGTTTTCAACATATAGTAAGAATCAAAAATAGTAATGCAAACAATGCAAACAATTGTAATATCATGGTTTTTGTATAGTGTACTTTTTAGTGTACTTGTTATAGTGGTTTTTGTATAATATACTTTTTAATATCCACAATGCAAACAGTGGTAGTGTCATGGTTTTGGGACTTACCCTTTTTTGGTAATTTCAAAGTAAATTTTTTACATATTTAAAGGAACAATTAACAACAAAAGTCAAATTATGAATATTACAAATGTAGTGGCATCCTAATTTCTGTTATAAGAGTTAAATAAACATGTTTTTTAATGAATATTTTTTTGATGAATACTTCTAATCAATTAGTTTCATTTTGCTTAATAAAAATGTTTAAAGGTAATCTGAAGAAATATAATTACTATCTCTTTTAAATAAATTTTTTTTAAGACATATATGTTTAGAAAAGTAACTTTGAATCTTTCATCTACTTTTTTTAATGTGTTTGAGTTAAAACAAATTAATATTATCCTTTTTTATTATTTTTCTTTTTTTTTTCTTTTTCCAAATAAATATATATGTGTTTAATTAAGCAAAAAAAAGTCTTTAAATGTGTGTATATATATATATATATATATATATATATATATATATATATATATATATATACACATACATACAAGGTTCAATTTAGTTTTTTATAAAGTCCTTGACAAAATGTCCAATCAAAACTTGTTTGGGTAGGACAGTGTCCGATCAAATTTTTTAGTTATAATTTTTACAATTTTACGGAACCAAGTTATGCAATCAAAATCTTTGTCATGTTATTAAGTTTATTTAACATTATTTTAAATATTTCATCTCAGATTTTTTCTTTTTTTAAAAAAAAGTTCTTATTTAATATTGTATTAAATCTCCCAAAATTTAATTGCTTTTTTTTTTGTTTTTATTTTTACAAAGAATTTTTAAACTTTTTTTTTTTAATGTTTAAACTTTTTTTTTTTTTTAAACTCAACTTACAAATTAAAGAATGTATTTGAAAATTACAATTTTAAAAAGACAACGTTGTTTTTTTTAACAATTTTTATTTCAACTTTTTGAAAATGATGTTTAAACAACTAAAAAATATTTTTTTTTTCTTTTCAATAATTTAAATAAAATTTGTTTATATATATATATATATACATACATACATATATATATATATATATATATATATATATATATATATATATATATATATATATATATATATATATATATATATATATATATATATATATATATATATATATATATATATATATATATATATATAAAGTAGTAGAAAATCACTTAGCAAAAATTTTTTTTATTTTACACTGTGTTTCATCAATAAAGGCTCATCAGAAATATGGATTTCTGATGAGCCTTTATTGATGAAACACAGTGATCAATAAAGAGTCAGAAAGATGGATTTCTGACTCTTTATTGATCAAACACGGTGTAAAAATGTTTAATTTGTAGAATTTAGTTCCCTTCGGTCAAAATGTCAGATTACTTTGTAAATTGATCAAACATTCTGAGGTTTTAGACGGACAATGTCCAATGATTTTTTAATTACTACATTTATAATCTCATAATTTTTGGATTTTCCATTGACTACTCTGCATGATGCTTCTTTAATTAAAAAATAATTTGGTTCCTCACACAATGCTTTGTAACTTTTTCCTATCTTCATGTATTTATACATGCATAATAATATAGATTTTATTTGAAATAAAATCTATATTAGTAAATTAAATACACACACATACGCACGTGCACACACATGCCCGCATGCACACAAGTATTACAAGCAAATTACAAGATTGATTTTTTACTCAGTGTCGACTTGAAAATATCAAATTAAAGAATCAACTAAAGAAATATGAAATGCAGTTAAGAGAGAAGGTAAATTTCATATAGTATTACTTTTACATAAATTTTTGATTAACATTTAAATGTGGAATATTTTTTTTGCATGAAGAGTTAGGTGTTAGGAATGAGGTATATACCTTTTTTACTTTTTAAAAATATATTTCCAAAGCATTATAATATAAATTATAAATTATAATTATAAATTATTTTAATGTATTATTTTTTGCAGTTTCAATTTTAAAAACATTTTGATATAAATAATATTTTTATATAAATTTTTGATTGGTATTTAAGTATCCTTCACCTTATTCTTCATACAAATAAATAAAAAAAAAATTATGTATGAAGAATAAGGTGAAGGATATTTATAACATTGTATTAAAATTGTTATAAGTATTATCTTTTAAAAACTTTTTTAGTCAAAATTGTTAAAAAATTGTTTTATTTATATGCATCTATATTTTATTTTAGGAAGAACTAGGTGAAGGATTGCATCTTATAGACTTTGAACAACTCAAAATTGAAAATCAAACCTTTAATGAAAAAATTGAGGATCGAAATGAAGTATATTTTTTATAATTATTTTTTATAATTGGTGCTCTAAGTGAGGTGGGGTGTTGCTGCATGCTATCCAGCTTTCTTTTTTTGAAAATTAAGTTTAATAAACTTAGTAATTTATTACAATTTTTTTTAATTGTAGTTTTATTTATGCATATTCATAATATATGCTACTTTTTCAATTTATTAAAAATGGCACACATTTTAGTATATATAATTACAAATTTTTACTTTTAAAAATAATAATACTTGCTTATTTATAAATTCAAAATCAAACAATGAGAAAGATGGAAATATATCATTTACGTGGAAAACCATATAAAATATCTAAAAATGTTTATTTTTCATTTTTTATATCTAACACTTCTAAGGGTGCTTAAACCCTTAAATTTGTTAAAAATGCTTATTTTTTATGCATATAACCAGGATATATTTAGAACCAAAAAGTTTTGGTGTTTATATATATATATATATATATATATATATATATATATATATATATATATATATATATATATATATATATATATATATATATATATATATATATATATATATATTAATAAAATATAAATTAAAATAATAATCTTTTTATAGGTTAATAATAATTTTTATATATAATGAGTAAGAATTAATCATTAAAGAAACCGATGTATTAATGGTCTTATAATAGTTCATTTTATCAATTATGTTGAGAAAGTGATGCAAAACCAGACAACTCCCTATTTTGGTGCAAATACAGGTTAATCCAAATTTTAGTCTTTCATAAAAACCTATGACAAAGTTTTTCTAAGGAAATATTTTAACTTCTCTGAACCATGACCCTTGTTGATGTATGCTATGTTAGTGGCATTAAAATGTTGTCAACATATCAAGGAATTAAAAATATTAAGATATGTCAAATTTTTAAGTATGGATTAATCTGGTTTTGCATAAGAGCTTCAGTTGATAGAAAGTACAACATGACAAATAAACATTTCCCTACAGTATGCCTAGATTTATAACTAACTTATAGCTAATATATTTTTTTATTTAAAATAAGTTAAATTGGTGTTTATAAATGTAATTTTGCTTTTAATAATCATATACTAAAAATATACTAGAATAAAAGAGTACTATTCTAAAATTTATGCCAAAAAAAAACTAAATAATTGTTTTTTTTTTACCCAAAAAACGCAAGAGGAAAAAAATGATTTTTTTTTGTAACTTTAGATATACAGATACATGCAGGAGAGGTGGCAGTATTGCTTTAGAGGATACTGGTTTCCCTTTTTTATTTGATTTATTCCTGATCCCAAGGAGGTGCACATTTACATAGGTTGTAATGATAAAAATTTTTACTTTATAAAAATCTTATGGTACTGGAAGAACTGTTGGTTCTTTTTCAATTAGTTTCATAGCTTTTCTGTCACAAGAACAAATACCAGTAAGAAAATGTTTGAACAAGTAAGACAATGTTTGAAATAGTTTCAAAGTATTCTATAGATTGGTCCAGTGATTCCTATAATTGTTTTGTCTTTCACAAAGCACACAATGCACACTTTATTTGGGCGTTTTCAAAATATATCTATGGTTTAAAGTAGCAGCAATAAAAAATGCCCACCCCTTCCCCAGCCCCCTGCAAAAATTTCTGAATATGTTATTGAATATACTATTTTACCATGGGTAAAATGCGGAAATTTTCAATGTGTAAAATGCAGGAATAAAGTGTGAAAAATTTCTCCTAACTCTACCATATCACTGCCCGAAAACCAAACTGTCAGTCTATAAAGCATCATTCCTTTGCATGTTCTTGTTTTATGTAATACAACTTTATACACAATGTATTTTAATTAAGTTCTTATAAATTACAATAAAGGTTTTAATTTTATTGAAAGCTTTTGTGCATACAAAAAATGTATTTAGTAACTTTTTTTTGTTAACATCTGTATCGAACATTCAGGATATATTAATATTTTATTTTTTTATTTTTGGTGCCGCAAGAAGTCCTTACGGTATTTATCACAGAACACTGCGCAATGAACTAGTGTCAATCTTACATGCATCATTTTTACTTATCAGGATGAAGACAACTATGTGAATGTATATAGCAGTGGTCCATTCCCAGACCAAGTCTAGGGATGCCGCGACATGGGCTTGCTTTTTAAGCCTTTTTGAGACCTGTTTTTGACTAAAATGACATGTTTCTGAAAAGTACTAAAACTAACTATTTTCAGTGTTACATGCATCAGTTTTATTTATTAGGGTGAAGACAAATATATGAATGTATGTATCAGGGGTGTTTTTTGGGTGTGGTGGTGTTAAAAAAAAGTTATTCTAAATATTAAAAAGAGCTCCTTATTTTTAAATATTTCTTTAGTTTTTTTAAATGTTATTTTTGGGGTGATTATTGCATAACTGTCTCTTTCTAGCTTCAGTTGAAAATGTTTCCTATGGTATTCATTTACTTTCTAGAGAAGCAGGCATTGAGTGTCATTTTTTGTCAAAAATTCATTAAAGTTAGTGGCCAATTTAACTGCCGGTTCTGCACAGTCATTAACTATTTTCATGACACGAACTATCTTACAGGCAGCCTTGCAGTCATCCCAAACAGCCCAAGTTTCTGGAGAAGAATTTTCATGGTTTTTTATGTAAGGCATTTTCAGTTTTCACTGCTTCAACAGAATTTTTATCACTAAATAATGGTAGAACGGCTAGATCCTCACTTAAATAATGGTAGAACTGCTAGATCCTCACTTAAATATCATAGCTGAATTTTAATTTTATTTTTGCAACAGTTGTAATTTTGCTGTCATTTTGACAAAATTTCTCAATTAACTTTAAAAGAAGTAGAACATTTTTTGGATCTTCTGTTGTAAGAGGAGCTGAAAACCAGATACACATATATATTGTGGTTATTAAGAGACATATTCTTCATAAAATCCCAATTTTTTTCTCTTTGACATTTAACTTATGGCAAAAACCATAAATTTATAAACAGTATATACCTTTAGTCATCTTGCACAATGGTAACCCCCAGGAATACAAATAACCCCAGGAATACAAATAACCCCCAGGAATACAAATAGTTGTTGTAGATCATCTATTCCCGAAAGGAGAAGAGCTAGTCTTCCAAATTCTTTATAATCATCACAAGGTTGAGTGCCTTTCAAATATTCTTTTAATTTCTTCACCACATAGGGTTTTTGTGATTTTCAAGTGGTTTCAAACTGATTTTCTATTAGCTCCCACTAAAACTTCAGTCTACCAAAAAAATCTAATGTTTAGTCCTTTTGATACAAAAAATGCATCAAACACTGCATTTGTGCATATTTCAAGAATATGATGTTGGCAGGCTAAAAACAGAGCTCTTTGATTCATTGATTTCTGTATGATATTACCCCGTTATGGCTTCCTGTTGACTTGCAGTTGTGTCAAAGCAAAGATCTGCAAAATGCTCAAAATGCCACTCAAATGAACTCAACTATCTTCTGTCCCATCAAATCACCAGTATTAACAGGTATCTCAGGGATACCTAATAATTTTTCAATTTCCAGGCTAGATACAACAATTGGCAGACATTTATTTCTGGTTCCATCAAAATTTTGCAATACTTTGCTGTCAAAGTGAGCAACTAATGGAAGCAAGGGTTGAAAATCTTTTCTTACTGTTATTGCAAGAGATTCATCTTTGAGGTTCATTAAAGAGGTACGAAAAAGTGTTAATTTATTTACATCAATACCAACTACACATATGCTAAAATTTCAGTTTGAGGTTCCATTAAAATTCCAAAAATTTCAAAAAAAATCCATTAAAATTCCATTCAAATTCCAAAAAATTCCATGAAAATTCCTTAAAAATTCCATAAAAATTCCAAAAAATTTCATAAAAATTCCAAAAAATTCCATTAAAATTCCAAAAAAAAATTCAGTTTAAGGTTCCATTAAAGAAGTATAAGAAAGTGTTAATTTATCTACATCAATACCAACTGCAGCTAGAGCTGGTGTGACGATGATCATTACTTGCTGCGGTGTTGTTTTTGTAAGGTCTAATGCTGCATTTAAGAGTTCATTGTCAATAATACAATGCTTGAATACCTTTTTTTGATAGTTGACTAATGCTAAAAGTAGAATATTGTGAAAGTTTTGGTGAAGTGAAGGCTTTTTGCATTTGAATTGTCACAGTCAGAATTTCGATCCAGAGAGTAAGCTAAATCCATTATGGGTTCTGTAGGTAAAACTTTACTTTTTTTATGTTGTTCTAGGCACCTTTTTTCTTCAAGCTTTCATTTTCTATATTTAGCAACTGCTTGCTTATATATTAGGTCTTTGGGTGTCTTTAACATTTTTTGGGGACCTTGCTGGTCTATCAGAAATTTTTTATCTTAATTTATCTTGATGTGACAATCTTGTTCACCATAAGCGATGTTAAAAAGTGTATTCATCTTGGCGGTGAATTGTTTTTCATAGCTATGTTGAGGAGCAGATTTTTTATTTTTGTGACAAGATGAATGCTCTGGTAAATACTCTTTAATTTAGCTACATGAATTTAGCTACTCTTTACACAAGGCTTTGCTATAGTAGGAATATGAACCAGAGAATCTTGAACCAGAAAATCATAAATTCATCTGTAACTGTGTTGCAACATATTGAAATTTTTATCATATGCTTTACAAGCATATGAGAAGCTTCAGCCAGTTATTTTCCTAAGTTATATTTTTATTCTTTTTTACTATAATAAAAATAAATTTAATAAATATAATGCACTCAAAGTCAATAAAATAATGATAAAAAAAAATTAAAGAATCTTAGATAATCAAACCCCATCCAATTTTACCCACCCCACCCTCTATAATCAATTATGTCATCACTATTATTAAATTTATAAAAAATTTCTCTCTGAGCTAATATTCTAATATTTAGAAATGTTTGAAACAAATTATTGCAAGTAAAAAACATCTTCGCTTTCAACAAGGCTGCAAGTAACCACTAATTAGTGTTGGAAGTTACTGGAAGAGAAAAGTTGAAGATTGTAGAGCAAGATAACGATTGACAGACGACTTAAAAGATTGCAAATTATATGAATCAGGAAAGCAAGATGAAGGAAGCGAATTCCAAAGAACTGATGTTCGAGGAAAAAAACTAGACGAATAAGTATTTTTGGAGCACTTAGGAACAGTAACAGAAAAAGGATGAGACTTAATTGAATGACAAGTAACACTGATACTAGAGCCAAGCCATTCAGTGTGATGAACATTAAAGTCACCGACAACAACAATATTGGCTGATGGATAAAGAATGAGGGCTTGGTCAATATAATCAGAAATAACATCAAGAAGAGTGCAGTCTTGAGATGAAGGAGAGCGATATAGAACAAAGAGAAAGGTGATAGAGTGAAGTGGTGCTAAATGAAAGCACATAAAAGAGTAGTCAGTGGATTCAAACCTAGTTTCCCGACAAATGGGTGAATTCTTACGAATGTAAATGCCTAGGCCAAGCATGTGACTATTGGAGTCTTTACGAATTAAAGGAAGATAACCATCAACACTAAGATCACAAGATGAGACAGCTGAACTCAAATTAGTCTCACAAAGAGCAAGTAGGTCTGGTGAACTTTGCAAGAGATAAGACTCAACAGAAGAAAAGTTACTTCGAAGACCACGAATATTGGTGAATGATAGGTTTAGCGAACTTGGTGATGACTGTGGTTTTTTGTGCTTTATAGTTTTTACATTTTGATTACATTTTAATAATGTAATCAAAATATGCATTTAGAAAAATTAAATTATTGGGAGAATCAATGCAGAAATATTCCTATAAATATTTGACAGGTCAATATTTCTGTTCCTAGAAATATTGACCTGTCAGTCAATCTAGCAACACTCCTTACATGTTCTACCTTTTTGTCAGTTGATATAGCAACACTCCTTGTATGTTTCACCTATTTGTCAGTCAATATTAGATTCTTATGTAATAGAGTGAGACCCTTCTTTAGTTTTTATATGATACAATGAGATCATACTTTAGTTATAATATGACACAGTGAGACTAATGGTCTTAAATGAGACTGAAAAATCTGGACCCGTAAAACAGGTCATGATAGGTGTGATTCACACCTCCAAATTATTTTTTACTTGTTTTCAATGTTACAGAAAATGGTAGAAAATAATAATCATAGCTTCATAAATAATCTAATTTAAAATCCTTTTGCGCTGTTCAAGCATTTTATGCATATAGCGAAGTGGATATAAAAGTTGTTGTTTGCCATGTGTGTTTTCTATATAAAAGTTGTTTGCCGTGTGTGTTTTCTATATAAAAGTTTTGTTTGTCATGTGTGTTTTCTATATAAAAATTGTTGTTTGTCATGTGTGTTTTCTATATAAAAGTTGACTTGAATCTTTTGGGCTATAACATCAAAGCCTTTGTTTTCATGTGTGTGTGTTTTTTTTTAACTATAAGCTTTTAAACTTTGTTCTGTTCTATTATTTATCTATATTTTATTTATTAATGCAGCAGAAATTAAAAAAAATAGGGTAAGTGAATATAAGGACCTTACCTTACCTACCTAACTTAGAGCTGTTAACCTATGCCAACCGTATATTTATTTCAGCATTCATCAGAGTCATATTTTACTAATGCGAAAAATATTTAGCGAAAAGTATCCAGAATATATTTCGCCTTGACTTAATTTTGCGTTAAAATTATTAGCTTTATTTGAAAGAGTTTATTATTATTTTTTAAAGTAATATATAAATTTTAAGTTTTTAGCGACATTTTTTGTAGTACGTAATGTTATAATAAGTTAAAACATCAAAAAAAAACATCGTACTAACTAATTTGTTGTATAAATTAGTTAGTACGATTAAACTGTATTTCGTTCTCATTTGTAAAGACCCGTAAAATACCAACTTAAAAACCGTTACCAAATAAAATATTACAAATTATTAAAAAGTTATTACAAAGACAATGTCAGTAAAAATTGTTTATTTTTTTTTTATGATTTTTTTAAATAATGGTTTCCAACTATGTGAAGCAACATTTACCCTGTTATCCCTGTTAAGTAGTAACGGGGATTGTTTAACCTTCTGAGATGTTTGCGCATAATTAATTTTAAGCATAAAGAATTTCATTAATTTTAAGTCATTTATATGTGTTACATGATTAGTTCTAGTTAAAACAGTTAAATTTGATGTCAATAAACTGCCAAAAAATCTTAATCATTATAGCCAAGCGCATTTAGACTTTTCATAAATAGCCAATTACACTTTAGCAGTTCTATTTTAGCTAAATAAATTTGTTATAACTATTGTAACTAAGCGCATTAAACAGTAACTAAGTGCATTAAACATTAAATTACAGTGTTAATATTAAATAACTAATAATAATAAAAATACAATAAACTTAAAAAACAAATAATAAAGTAAAATACTAATTTTAAATTATATGTTACCTGATTTGTTCATGTTAAAACAGTTAAATTTGATGCCCAAGAGAATAAATCATAATCATTATAACTAAGGGTATTAAATTAAACTTTTCATAAATAGCCAATTACTCATTAGCTGACTCTATTTTAGCCAATTACATTCGTTTACAATTGTAACTAAAAGCATTGAACATTAAATTACAGTATTAATATTAACATTATAAATTTTTTATGACAAAACATACTTACTAACAAATTATTGCTTATGACAAACCATAATTATTGTTAATAACAATAAACCATAGTTAACAACTTTTTTTTTTTTACGTTGATTAAGGTGCTCCAAGAAGTCCTTACGGTCTTATCACAGAGCACCGCGAAATAGCATTCAATAGAAAGTTCACGTCTCCTTCCCAACCGATGTCTCAAAACTTGCACAGAGGTGGGGTTTGAACCATGGATCATAGATTTCTGAGGCAAGTGCGCTACCACTGCGCCACGGCTGCAGTGGTAAACAATAACATTATGAATGTTTTTTGATTTTTTTCTAGGAACTAATGAAGCTTCGTAAAAAAATTACAACAACAGTTCAAATATTTTCTCATGTAAAAGAAAAATTGCAGTTCATACAAGTATGACTTTCTTTTATGAGATGATGAGAAAGTTAAATGAGATGCTTAGTTTTGTTTTTTTATATATTTAGGACGAAAATATTGAGTTGCGTCAAAAGCTTCAGGACTTAGATGTAACCCTTGCTCAGGTAGTTCATTGTATATATATATATATATATATATATATATATATATATATATATATATATATATATATATATATATATATATATATATTTATGTGTATATATATATATATATATTTATATGTATATTTATATGTGTATATATATACATATATATACTTAATATATATATATATATATATATATATATATATATACACATGCACGCGCATAGATATGATACAGATTCTACAAAAAAATTGGTATGAGTCCTAATTGCAAAGTTTAGCCTGGATAGATTTTCATCTATAGCCCTATAGATTTTCATCTATCCAGACTAAATGTTTTAGCCAAAATAGATTGTTGTCATTATGTTTGTGAATTTTTTTTTTTTTATTTTAATTCACCTCCTCAAGGCCGAGAAGGCCACTACAGACGAGGAGGCTACTTATTTGTGGTTATAACCCTCTCTCAACTCTATAACTCCGAAACACGAACCTTGACGAGCAAGGCCGCTGCGCAGAGAAACGAGTTGAATTACATAAAAAGTTTAAGGTTGTAAAGAAAAAACTAAGTATAAACCAAATTATATTTAAATTTTTTAATATTTCAAGTTGTTTTATCTGATTTTGAAGCTCTTTATAGGGTTTGCTATCTTTATCCAAGCATGCAAAGGTCTGTTGATCTTTTGAACTTCCTGCTTTTGCAAAACAATCAAATGATAGTGGAAGTTTTTACTTTTTGTCATGCAAAATAGCATTTTCATTGCATCTAAATTTGCAAAAACAGGAAGATTTTTCTTTTTATTGATAGCCATAACCAGTCTTTGCAATGCCAAAGGTTCATAATAAACTTTATAAAAGCAATTAACCTGATCCATTGGTTGAAGTTTAAACGTGGTATTTGTTAGTAAAAAAATGAGCTCAACAAATTTTAGTTTATCAATTGTTGGATGTGCTGAGTGTTCTTTTCTTTGATTAATTTTGTGAGAGTTTTTCTTTTTACAATGGCCCTAGCCATTGCAAAATGTAAATGCAATGTTTTTTATTATAATATTCCAACACACGTTAGTATAACTTATACTATAAATATTGTTATTTACTTATTGTATATATACTGTTTTTATTGCAATGCAATAAATGGTTTAAATAATTTTTTTTTTAATTTTTTTAGGAAACATGGTTGTGCAATTTTTCTTTTTGTATAAAATTCTGTTATGATTTCTTAATGACCTTTGAAATGCACATATCATTCCTAATGTTATGTATATTCTTTTCCTTTACATATATTAGAACTCCTTCACCTCGTTTATTTGTCTCTAAAAAATATCCAAAAAAAAAAGTAAATAGAGTTATTATAATTAAACTTTAAAATATTTTATAATTTTTAAAATAGCTTAATTAATAAATTAAAAATTTAAAAATCACTTTCCTATTAACTAAGCTGTTGTTTGTTTTGTTTGGAAACTAATTCTGTTAGTTAAGTTAGTTTAAACATTTTAAAAAAAGATCCTAGCTTTTTTTTCAAAGCAACTAATTGAAAAAGTAGTTTCAAAACTTACAGCATGGATTTAGAGTTCATGTCATTGTTAACAATTTTTAACTAACTAAAATCAAGTAAGTTAAAAAGTTTGCAGCTGGCATGAGAAACGATTGTAAAAACACTTTTAAAATTATTAGCAAACATTTGAAAACCCTTTTTAACTATACAGGATAAGTGCGCTTCTTTGAAAAGTTGAAGATACATGAATATTAATATTCATCAAAAACACATACTGGAATATAGCATGACTTAAATTTCAAGACCTCTGAAAAAGTTGTTACAGTTATCACAGAAAAAGTTGCCAGGTTTTGGTTGAACATTGGCAACAGCATTGTCTGCTCAGTTTCGAATGAAGCCAAATTATTTTTCTTAGTACTGTCTTTGAAACATTAGTACTTGGATTGAAACATTACCATTACAAAAGTGAAACCGTACTTGCAATCTATCATTACAAAAATCTAAATAATTTTCAAGTTATATTGAAAACCTCTAGTCAAAAATGATGTCTTTCAAGAAGAAATCAAGAAACAGCACAGAGGTTTTACTTGTTCTTGACTGCAAAACAAGATGGAGCAGTCTGTGGTTCAATAGTTTCTCAAAACTAAAAGTTTAATCAGAAAATATTGAAAGACTAGCTGAGATCGGCCCCGTAAAAATACGGGTCTTTGTATATCTATTCCAAACCGAACTTTTCTATACTTTTTGCTTATATATTCTAGCTTTCCGAATCCGTAAAATACAGGTCTTTACCAATTTACATATCTATTTCTAGCCGAAAATTTCTATACATATTCCTTATTTACTTCAATATTTTTTAATAAAATAATTTATTCTGAAAAAAATTTAAGAGCAAAAAACTAAACATGTGCACCTTTTCGGCATAGGTAGAGCTTATAAGATATTTATAATTAGCTTTGTTTTTTGATAGCTCAGTGATTAAGTGCGCTGTCATCAGTGTTGTTCATCTTAGCGTAATAAGCTTTGAAATTTTTTCAATCTTGCTTATATATTTATAACAAAAAAATAATAATATAGCAAAAAAGATTTCTAAAATTTAAAATAAAATTTTAAAGTTTTCTTATTTTATAGATATATAAGATAATATGTACGATAAAAAAAAATTTTAAGTAAAATTTTAAAGTTTTCTTATTTTGTAGATATATAGATAGACGTAATTATTCCATATAATGCCTGGAAACTCAACATATGCTAAAGACATTTACACTTACAGACGTTTGTATGTAACGTTATACAAATGGAACTAAGAAGATCTTAGAGCACTAAAACATTGTCATTAAAAAAAATTCATTCTTATGATTATGATTAATAACTAAAGAATATTATTAAACGCTAATCTAAAAGTTAAGCCAAAAAGATTTTGCGCATTGACGTCAGTTTGTGGCAAAATAAATCTTTACGCGTCAAGTTCCCTTTTGCATTTATCTTACATTTTTTTATTAATTTTTATTATGTTGCAAACAAATGCATTAAAATATATAAAACTGGTACAGATATATCATTTTCACGGATAAGAGATTGTATTTATTACAATAGTAATAAATAAATAGTTTTGGAGCCATCCGTAAAGGACATCATCATTTTTAGCCAATTTTTGATCCTCTCCCCCGTTTATCACTGGTTGTTCTTTTTCCCTATACCCCCTTAAAAAGTACATCATAAAAGCCTGCCCCCCCAACCAAATTAAACCCCCAAAAAAATTAATTGATCTCCCAATGATGTTTGAATCTGCTGCTACACCTTTGAAAATTAAAATTAAAAGTATTCTTATTTTCTTATACATTATCTTCTTAAAAACGCATATTTACATATTTTTTCATGTTAATTAAACTAAAATAAAAAATCTATACAGTGGCGTCCATTTCTGACATATTCCCCCCTCTTCTTGTTCTTTTTTGTCCTTTTTATCTCGAACCCCTCACCCTCTCTCTATTTGGATGACGTCCTTTATGAATGTTGCTTTTGTCTTTATTAGAATATATCCCATAAACATATAATCCATATATCTTTAATAGATAGAGTTTTTATAAAAAATTGAAATAAAATCTTATTTATATGACTATCATTTTTAAAGGTCTAAGAAGCAGATGACATAACTTTAGAAATCAGAAATTATTGAGAGAGGAGTAAATCTAAAGTTGAAGTTTCAAATTTTCCAAGCGGAAGTGACAATATATTTCGTGTTTTTTTAATCTTGTCAATTTTTTTAAATATAATAACATAACCACAAAAACCCAAAAACAAAACAGCTTAAGCTAAAAAGACTTGTAATTGTTAGAATCATATGTAATATAAGTTTACTTATATTACGTACGATCCTGAATAAAACGTTATATAAGTGGATTTTTTACATTTTATAAACAATATATATATATATAAACAAATAGCATATATGTTTATATATACAATGTTTATATAGAGACAGTTAAGCGCATCAAAGTTAAAAAAAAATTAGTTTGTATTAAAATTAAAAAATGATTTATATAGCATTTCTTTGCAAAAACCAACTCACTATAATAAAATTTTTAAGTGCTATAATAAAACTTTGAACTACAATTACTATATTCACTAAAATAAAAATTTTTACTATAATAAAATTTTTAAGCAATTATATTTAATTTTTTTTGTTTAGTGGCTTTTGTTAAGAGCTTTTAAATTTTGCATCAAATTATCTCATTTTAACATATTCGTTGTGTCATCCATACTGCAGCCGTTTTTCAAAATGCCTTAAGTTTAAAAATATCATTTTTGACTTTTTTACAAAATAAGCTAGTTTATATGTCTACAAGCGTTATTGAATACATATTTTCAAAGAGTTCTAAAAAAATTTCATTAAAATTATTCGTTTCAAAAAACGTTTAGCAAAGAGTTAATTTTAAATAACTTTTTTTTTAATTGTGTTTTTCTCAAAATACGTAATAAGCATATTAAGGCGTTTTAAAAAACAGCTGCAGCATATATTTAAAGTAAAAAAATTAATGTAGCAAAAAAAGCTTTTCATTATCAAAAGAAAGTTTTAAATTTTTTTCTAGCTACGGGCTTTTTTTTTGCCTCCACAGCAGCACCTTCTTGAGTAACAGGACTTTCTTATTTATTTAATATAGTTTTATTCTTTATTAAGTTTCAAGCAACTTTTTTTTCAGACCATCTGCAGCTTATTAGGACTAATTACCTGAGCACATTAATAACATAAGTTCTCAATCATCATACATACGCAACAAATTTTTTCTCCTGGTGATGTTTTTTTTTAGCTTTCTTAAAATCTTTTCTTTTGTGAAAGTGTATAATATCGTTACGTTACATATGTTTGTATATAATCTTTATAAAACTTCAAGGTTATTTTGTTGATTATTTAAAATAATCGAAAAAAATAAAAAAAAAATAGCCGCCATTGGTAGGAATCGAATCTCTAGTTTCTTGTTCAGAAGTTTGATGCCTTATCCACTCGAGCTACACCGGCATACAATCTGGCGTAGATTTTTTTAAATGATGTAATAATTTTTTTGAGGAAAAAAATGTTATAGATCAAAATTAAGGAGAGCTTGACGCAATGTAATTTTCAAGTGAAAGCCAACTGTAAAACTTGATAACTGTTTCAGTATGTTTTAACATATGCCTTAACATTACTTAGTTTAAAGTTTATGTATGTTAGATATTGGTTCACATTTTCTTATAGTGCTGCGACTCTTTCTTGCCAATTCCTCGGTTGCAATGGCTGCGAAGGGTTTTGTGTCAAATACGCTCCAAGGGACACTACTATTAAAACTATTAAGTTCGGCATTATTATATAGATGTTTTTCCACATTTGATTTGCAGTGATGTTGAAGTAAACATTTTATACAACATTGTTGGTGCTTTTGAACCAGTCAAAATGGCAGTTGAAGCACTTTGCCTAGAGAATTTTCAAGTTTCTCATAAGTAGACTGAAACAATCAAATTCAACTATTTGTATTACAATGATGAATGTAAATTTGAGACAAATTAAAGAGAAACAAGTTGAGCAGAGAAACGAGTTGAGCGTGGTAATACCAGGGATGACCAGGTGACCAGGGATGTGGTGGGGATCAAACTTGAAAATTCTTGCTTATGAAGCGAGTGCTCTATTACTACACCACTACGACATGACATTTATTTAAGAAATGCGTGGCTCAGAAAAATTTGAAGAAAATTAAAAAATGTGAACTAGAAAAAGAATTTCGACTCACAAAAAATGAGTTACACAAATCAAACCTTGTTTGGTGGAAAAATTTATTTTGCATCATGAATTATTGTAAAGTTGTTTGAGTATCAGGTAATAACAATTATCGTAAGAGAATGAGGCAACTAAATGATGAGCCAATAAAAACGTTGGTTTGTGGAAAGTGTGAGATCTTTTGTATTACATCTAAAATAAATATAGCATTGTTTGAGCCAGCCCAAATTTGGCAATAGTATTACACAGAGGAGCAAAAAGTAGTGAAAAGTTTGAGTAGTAGGATTAAAAAATCTTTTGCTTGACAGAATTTCAAGAAACCAGAGAAATTCTTCGCAAGCAAATACACATTCTTTTAAAAATATAGATCTAAGCAAAATTGCATAATTGAATAAGCTTTAGTATTAAATCTTTATGTACAAATTTCAAAGAAATTTTTTTTTTTATAATTCATGAACTATTGTAGTGAAAATCATAAAAATATTTATTACTGATACTGAAAAATTTGTGATTATTGTAAGTCAGTGAAATATAGCCATAAGCTCTGTGATTCAATAAAAATATCCAAATGATGTTTTGCGAAAGAAAAATTACTTTTAATCACAAATATTGGTATATAAACTCAACAATCACTTATGTTTTATGTTGTCTTTATTATACGCAGATGAGCAGTTCAGGACTAAAGAAGTTCTTAATTGCATTTGTTTTTAAATGCAATTTTGTGTTTGAGTTTTAAATTAGTGGTTTATATCTAGATAACAAAACCATATGATTTTTTATATAATATTTGTTTTTCTTAAAATATTTTTAACAAACAAAGAAATAAGAATTTAAAATAAAAAATTTAAAATAAAATTTAAAGAATTTAAAATAGAATTTAAAATAAAAGTTTATTGAATTTATTTATTTAAAATAAAATTTAAAGAATTTAAAATAGAATTTAAAATAAAAATTTGTTGATTTTAAAGGCTAGATTGAGAGTTAAAAAATTATTTGCTTTAATATAATTATAGTTTCATTAATTGGTGGCTGTATTTTATACTGGAGCTTCCTTGCATTTATTATTATTTCTGCTTTATACAATCATTTTCTTTTAAAATGTTCTTAGAGAAGAGATATTCTCACACGAAATAAGCAGATACGAGATTCATTGCGTACAGACAATAACAAATTGAAACATCAAGCTGGATTACTTGGTAATGAAACTCTTCTACTGGATTTTGAGCAATGCGTTGATAAGGTAAGATGTGATAATGTTGTTTTTTAGTTTTTTATGTATTGTTTTATTTTTTTATTTTAAATTAATTTTTCAGAGTGAACAGCTGAGATCACACTTAACTCAACTAAAAGATCAACATAAAGAATTAAGTATTTGCTTAAAAACTCTGCGAAAGAATATTGAGTCTTAAACAACTAAAATATTTATATATTAATAAAAATTAACATGTTTTTTTTGTTAATGTTTCTGCAACAGGTTAATATATATATAAAAAGCTCAATGCAATATTTATTTTCAATTTTTATTTCCCCTTGAATTCAACTATCATCAGTAAGTGTTTTATGTAAATGTATTTTAAAACTATCAAATGTTTTAGTTTCTTTTCAATTGGCTATTATTAGCCCTGAGTGTTTTAGTTTCTTTTTAATTAACTATTATTAGCCATTAGTGTTTTAGTGTTTTTTTAATTAACTATTAATAGCCATTAGTGTTTTTTTTATAACTTACAAATATAAATATATCTTTTTTAATAATAATTATCAATGTTAAAATATTTTTAACAAACAATGTTCTTTAGTGTCCTTATAGTAACAAGTTTCAGCCATGTTTTAGTTTCTTCTTAATAATAGTTATCAGCCATGAGTGTTTTAGTTTCTTCTTAATAACATTTATTAGTCATGAGTGCTTTAGTTTCTTTTTAATAACAGTTATTAGCAATGATAAAAAGTTTCAGCTATTTTTTAATAATAATTGTTAGTTATAAATGTTTTAGTGACTTTTTGTTAACAAATATAAGTATGTTTTTGTATTTTTTTAATTAGGCATCTGTGAATAATAGTTTACTGTTCTTCACAGATGTTCAAAAATGTTTTTGATCAACAGTGACTACTTACTGAATGATGAATAAAACAAAACTTTGGTAGGAAAAATCAACTTTTACATTCTCTTAAAGTAAAATAGCATTTCTTGGGTAGCAAACCTATAGCATATAAAGGTATAAGTCATGATGTTTTAGTGCTATATAAAGTATATGTATGTAATCTTGAGTTTTCTTTTATCTTTAACCCAAGTTTTGTAATGCAAATATTATGAACACATGTTTTGAAAATAGAGTAATCAATCACTTATTGCTTGAAACTATAGAAAAACTTAAGATTTTCTTCAAATGAAAAAAGGAAAGAAAAAAATGCCTGAAGTAAACCCAACTGAAGTTGAAAGAGAATTACCAACTGAAAATGAAATTCTCTTACAATCTGAGTAAGTAACAATTAATTTTTGTTGTTTTTACCAATATATTACTATTGTTATGGTTACATTAAATTTTTTAGATTAAAAAAACTTACTGAAGATTTGTCACAGATGAAAATTATTGTTGAAAAAGCGTATAATTTCAAAATATTTTTTTGTTTTTATTACAAAATATTTTTTTGTTGTTATTGTATTTTGGTACCCAATTTATAAATTTACGTTAATATTAATTAATTTATTTTTTAATCATAGTTAAAAAAATTATCACATTTTTAAATTTATTGTTTAATCCTAAAATCCTTGACAAAATAAATAGCCACCAAGAAAATGAATTCCTTCAAAAAGAAGCCAATACTGTCAAACTGGAAACGGTTTGCAAGTTTCTTTAATTATTTATTTAACCTTTTTATAATATGAACATAACCACATGAAATAACCATGTACTGAAACAACAATAATGAAGCAATAAAATAATGAATATTAAAATCAAATCTTATGCTTTAAACACAAAACATTGCTTGGTTAACGTTAGCAAAGAAAAATATAAAACAATTTTTAACATACTGGGTGCTAATTGTATATCCAGTGTGACATCCATTATGAATCCATATTTATTTTTCAATCCTAGAAAAAAAAAAAGTTTGAAAAGCCTTTTTTTAAAAATCTGATAGAAAGTTAGTTTGTTGCAAATTTTTGGCTAGAATTGTTCTTCATGTTTTGTGTTTTACTAAGGGATCAAAATTTAATTTTAATGCTCCAAGAGATTTTTGATTTGGAGTCTATCTTCAATTGCAATTCCATTACCAATTACATGCATCACTAATTGCATGCAAAGCATGTGTTAATAAACATCTACTTTAATTCCTAATGGTTAATATTATAGCTAGTATGGTATTAAGTTAGTTTCTTTTAAAGTGTTTGATGCAAATACTATAATTAAGAGGGATAAAAAAACCTTTATTTGTTATTATAACATTTTTTAAGAAAACTGAGGTTAGGGACATGTGTTTGTATTTAGTAATAGTATATTACATTACCATATTTGTATTGGATTTTTAAAATATTTTTTATTAGTTGTATTATCTAATAAAAGCTAATTAACAGATTAACCAGATTGATAAATATCAACTTTGCTTGGGAGACTCTTTAGACCCACTTGAATGAAATTAGAAATATGATTTAATTCTTTTAAATTTATAGTTAAAACACTATTTACTAAACTTTATTACTAAATTCCAATAAACATTAAAAACAAGGTTGAGTTTAAAGTGCTATGCTAAATCAATGTAAAATACAATATTTTGCAAACTAAAAATAAAACATGTTACCAATGTTGTTATTTTATTGTTGGCGATGTTGTATTTATAACCAAAATGGCTTTTGGAACTTTTTACCTACTTATATATGTGCTAGCTAGGTCATGTCTTTGAAGCTTCTCATTTAGTATTGTTAATTGTAAGCTTTAAAAAAAATCTCTTTCGCCATAACTTAAGATTAAATTGATAAATGTATTCTAAAAAATTTTCCATTCTGGTTAATAGACAATTCAACAAAAGTTAAGGCTAGGAGAAACAAACTCCGGCTATAAAATCTTCTGCCTCGGGGCTCTTGGTTGAGTAAAAGCTAGAGATAGTGTCTTGATAAAAATACTTATTTTCGGAAGATGTTAACTGCATCCAGCTAAAATTCCCCTGCCTAAGGGCTCTTGGTTGAGTAAAGGCTTGAAATGCAACCTTCCATCCGTTGAATTTTACCTCTCGCAAAGTTCACCAGACTTGCTTGTTCTTAGTGAGACTAATCTAAATTCTGCTATTCCTTCTTCTTATCTCAATGTTGATAGGTACTATCCTTTAATTCGCAAATACTTCAAAAGTAACATACTTGGCTTGGGGGTATACATATGCATCAATTCATCTATTTTTCATCAAATCAAGTTTGAATCCTTTGACCATTCTTTTATGTGCTTACGCTTAGCACCTCTTCACTCTATCACTTTTCTCTTTGTTCTTTATTGTTCTCCTTACCAAGACTACATTCTTTTAGATGAAATTTCTGATCAAATTGAACATGCCTTCTCTCTTTACTCCTCTGCCAGTATTTTTGTTATTGGCTCATCACACCGAATGGTTCGGCTCTAACGCCACTGACCCTGCTGGTACTAAAGTCTATAACTTCTGCATTTCTTAATCTCTTAGTCAGGTAGTTAACTTTGTGACTAGTTTTCCTGATAACCCTATTCATATCTTCTCTCCTTGATTTATGTCTGGTCTCTGATCCTAGCTGATGTAAAACGGTGCCATATGCTAAGCTCTATTATTCTCAGTTCACTAAATCTTGTATCTTATCTCAGAAGTTAGGCTCTAGAGACTTTTAGAAAGTCTTTAACAGTAACTTTAATAATGTTGTTAACAAAGGTAAGTCTAACATTCCATCTCTCATTCATCAGACTGATCTTATTACCTCTCCAAAGAATAAAGCATAGCTATTTGCAAAGAACTTCTCTTCTAATTAAACTCTCAAATCTTATGGCCATCCTCTTCCTTTCATTCCAAAAAAACAAGTTAACCCGTTGTTAGACATTCAAGTCACTCGAGCTTCCATTGCTAAAGTCGTATCTCGATTAAACTCTTCTACAGGTTGTGGTACAGACATTTCTATCATAGTCTTACAAAATTGTTCTCCAGAACTCTTTTCAATTCTCTCTTAACTATTTAATATGCCCTTGACTAAGTCTTGATTAGTCTTCTTTCTGTTATTAGCAAGATCTTTGAGTCTTTGATAAACAAATTTCTCACATTTTATCTCGTGTCAAATAATTTGCTGTCAGACAATCAATACAGTTTTTAATCCTTTCGCTCTATGGCTGATTTGCTAACTGCTGTGACTGAAAGATTTTATTGTGCATTATGTGGAGGTGGAGAGGCTAGGGCTTTTGCTCTTGACATATCTAAGGCTTTTGACAAAGTTTGGCATGTTGGTCTTCTCCATTAGCATGTTTTATATGGTGTATCTGGGAAAGTTTTTCAGAATATCATATTGTTACTTCTTTATTTCCAGTAACTTCTAAGGTACCTCAAGATTCTATCCTTGGTCCTATATTGTTTCTTATCTACATTAATGATCTTCTCAACAACCTTACATCTAAAGTAGCTCTTTTTGCTAATGACTCAACGTTATACTCCTGTCTTGACAAAAAGTTTTATCTTTTCAATTGCTTAGAACAGACAGCCGATCTTAAATCTGCTATCACTTCTGTAACAGATTGGGGCTCACAGTGACTTGTAAATTTTAACTCCAACAAAACTCAGTTATTTATTGCAAACAACAATTGCAGTGCTGTCGACATTCCTATATTAATGAATGGCAACCCTCTCACTGAATCCTCTTGTTTACATCTTCTTGAATTATCATTTCCTACTGACCTTTTATGGAAACCATATTTACAACCAATTGCTAAATTAGCATCTGCTAAAGTTGCTTCTCTTTATCAAGCTCATCATTTTCTCTCTCCTGATTCCATTCTCTACCTCTACAAATCTCTTATTTGTCTCTATATGGAATACTGTTGTCATAATTGGGCTTGTTCTTCTAATAATGCTCTTTCAGTCATTCAGCAAAATCTCATTCTTTTACTGTATCTGTCCAAGCATGGTCTAAAAACTTTTATTCATCTTGTTTTTTTCCTCTCTCTCATCTTCATGTCTTTCTGACTTATACAGCCTTCAACTTTTTAAGTCTTCTGTCGACTGTTTCCTTGCTTTATAACTCTTTTTTTTTTTTTCTAGTAACTCCCAACTTAATAGTGGTTGCTTGCAGCCTTGTTGGAAGTAAATCAGAAAAAAAACCAAAAAAACAACAACAGCAACAAGCATGAACTCCCACAAACACAACAACTTTATAATTTTTACTTTTTTTTCACATATACATTTAAATATATACACATACAGTCCGCGCCAAACAAATAACACACGCTATGAATATAATATATTTTATTCATTTTATACTGTTTTAAACATTAAAATATCTAAAAATAGTCATAATTAGAGAAGTAATAAGAAACATATCTTTTTTGGCGTCAAATGTTTTCCTGAGTTGAAGTATAGTAGAATATATGATATTTTTTGATGACAAACAAATAGCACATGTCAGTCATTTAATTTTTGACTGCAACAGACAAATTGCTAATGGCATGTAAGTGATGCATATATTAAGGTAGACCAAAGGGCCATCATATGTGAACTAATCATATGTTTTACAGAGGACTACTATGGGACATGGAGCTAAGTTAAATGCTGAAGAAGTCACTATGATCAAGGCATTCAAGGCTGCCAATGTATCTAAGTCTGAGATATCGAGACATATATAAAACAAAATTCAACCAAAATGCTTTGAAATTAACCAAGCGTGACAAATGTCACATACTATAAGTGGCTTCAAACACCAGCTGTAGTTCTCTATTAATACATGCCCAGCTGGATGATGTTTCATCGCGTACAATTCAAAGAATGTTACATGAAGCCAAACATCGAGGTATGCGTTGCGTATGTCAACACCGGCAATGCAGAAACATCACATGGAGAAATGTATGGCATATATTTGGTCTGATAAGAAGAAATTTAATCTTGATGGTCCAGACGGATATCAATATTATTGGTATGACTTACGAAAAGAGCCAGAGACTTTCTTGTCCAGAAAAAAATTGCAGTGGTGGTGTCATGATTTGGGGTGCATTTTCTAAGGCTGGATTATCTGAATTAAAGTTCCTAGAAGGGTAACAAACAGCTGAAGACTATATTATTACACTCTCTGATTACTTAATGCCATATGAGCATGCTAACTATGGATATACGTTTGTCTTTATGAAAGATAACGCATCAATACATCAAAGATCGTGATGGAATTTGTAACGGAACATGAAATCCAGTTGTTTGATCATCCAGCAGTGTCATCAGACTTTAATCCAATTGAAAACATTTAAAGTTACTTGTCTAGCCATGTGTATGCAAATGGAAAACAATACAGTAATGTCAAGGAATTGAAAATGGTCATCCAGATGGATTGGAACAAAATCCCTCCAATCTTTGCTTGAAATGCTCATTTCCTCGATGCCTAAGCGTTGCATTCATGTTATTATGAAGAAAAGTAAAAAGATTGACTATTAAGTTCGTTTCTACCTCTTAGTAATCTTTAAATCCTGCTGAAATGGTGTGTGTGCTATTGGTTTGGCACATAATGTATTTTTCATTTTATTCATTATTTGTTTTTTACATGTTTTAAACAAAAGCGAAGACAATATTTTCTTTTTTTTTTGCATTTTATTTATTGTGTTAAAAGTTTTAAATATGTATTAATTATTGTGTTTAATTTAAGATTTTCATATCCCTATTTTTATTACTAAATTATTGCATGTGCTATTCGTTTTGGGCGGGCTGTATATACAAGTTAATATAATCTTTAATATTTTTTTCTTTTTAATTAGCATGAGTACATGAAGTATATAGCCAATAAGAAGCAGAAACGACAAAAAGATATCATAACTTTAAGTGACTGGTATGCTGAGCAAATCACGCAAATAAAAGAAAGAAAAGATGAGAAGCTACGTGTTTATGAACATACAAAACAAAGTGTTCATTGATTTTGTTTTTGTTTTTGTTCTTTATTTCACTAGTTTTTTGTCACATTATTAATTTATTAAATTTATTTCATAATATCCCTTTGAGGTACACCCATTAAAACATATTTCAGTGATTTTATTCCAAATTAAATATTTTTTTATTTTTAAGGTACACACATTAAGGAATGTTCCTGTGAGTTATATTCAAATTAAATATTTAAAAAATACTTTTAATAATTTAATTTTAATAACTTGTTAAATAACTGATGTCTATGATGGCTATTCAATTAGTTTATTATCCAGAACCGACAACTCGAAAGGGTGGGGTGGGGGCAAGGGGACTCTTAAAAAGTCCTCTAAATCTAGAAAATTCTAGATATAGAGAACTTGTTAAAAAAATTGACGATTGTGCCCCCCACTTTGAAACCTGTGTCTATGGCCCTGGGTTCCCAAGAATTTATAGTCAGATATCAATTTTTTTTAATAACTGATGTCTACAATGGCTATTCAGTTAATTTATAGTTATAATTAGGTTCACAACACGCCAAAGTCAGAGGTCAAACTTGGACAATTCTTCTCTGACATAAGTTTGATAATGAAAAAAAAAAAGAGTTTGGGAAACAACAATTAATGATGCTACAAAAATATATTATTGTTCAAATTGCTTTCGAGATATCTGAAGATATCCTGAAAAAGCGAAACAATATTTGAGTTTACTTTTTCAAATTTAAAGGGAATATTTGATAATTGAATTTACTATTTTAAATATTAAAGTGCTGTTGTTGTTGTTGTTGGTAAAGATTATTATAATGCTGTTTCTGATGGAATCAATGAAAAAGTAAACTCTAGTATAATTGGAATTGTTAGATATAATATCTAACAATTTCAATTATATGAATATGATATTTTTAATTGATATAATATATAATAATATAATTGATGAATATGATAAACTGAATATCATATTCAGACAATCTTAACTTAAATAAATATGACTTAAGATTTAGTTTTTTATTATTCAAAATAGAAAGATCTTCCAAAAATTGAAATCTTTTTTAAAAACTTTTTTTGAAACGATTAGTTTTAATTGAAATTTTTGATTATAAATTACCACAATCAATTCAATAAAAATTTATATTATAAAAATTATAAAATCCTTGGAAAAGTTAAATTCAGTTATTTATTTTTTTTTTTGCCACTTGTCCATGCTGAAAGGTTTATTATTTTATTTTATTATAAAGATGAAATATTTAATACAGCTTATTCATTACTAAATCAAGAACACCATTAAACATAGAACACCATTAACTGATGAAATGATTGATACATGTTTTTTAAGGTCATATTATAATCAGAAACAAATAGTTTTAATGAAGCAAATTGACTTATCCTATATAAAATAAAAAACTTATCCTATATAAAATAAAAACAAGTTATTCGAGTTATTTTAATAATTTTCCGAAATATTGTTTGTTATTTAAACAATTTAGTTTGTTCGTTATTTGGTCCCCTCATTACAATTATTTTGCCCCCTTATTACTATTATTTGGTCCCTTCATTACTAACTTATATGTATAAATTTTTTTTAAGAAAAATAGAAACATTCTGGTTTTTTAGAGTTCATTTTCCAAATGAAATAAATGTTTCAGTACAATAAGAATAAATCCAGTATTTACTGTTATTGAAAATGAGTCTGGCATTAAATATAATAGTTTTACTGATTCATACTTAATAAAATGGTAGTTGCCGTTTTTATAAGTGAGATATTACTTTAAAGTTAATATAATGGATTAAAATTATTAATTTATTTTATAGAATTGAGAGAAGTTATCTTAAGAAAAGAAGCAGAATTGGTGGAGATTAAAAATGAAGTAGAAGATTTGACTGAGTATAAGGTGTGATAACTAGATTTTGTATAAGATCAAAGTAAACCTGTTTTACCTATATCTTACACAATCTAAAAAAATATATATTTATTTGTTTGATTTATCTAAAAAGTTTTTTATATAGTCAGTAATGTAGTTGTATTGTTCACATTACGAACGGTCAATTTGACTGGTTAACACATGGAACTGACGGTCAATTGTTTTTTTTTGTACAGCCAAAAATTTTTAATTTTTTATTCTTTCTTTAAATTTTTATTTTAGTAATGAATCTTTATGACTGAGTTTTATATATACAAAAATAACAATCAATGCATAAAAATTACAAATTTGTATTTCTTTGAAAACAGTAACTATAAATAAAATCTATTTTTAAATAAAAACACAAATAACTAACATTCAAATTACCAGCTGATGTTTAAAGTTTAAATTAATTCTTGTGCGCACAGATTTCCATTAGTTAAAAAAAGGAAATTTGATACTATCCAAGTAATTTCATTTTGAATTTTTTTTTTTCTTTAATGTCAAAACAATTTGTATAGAATATTAAAAATATTTAAACTAAATATTTAATTTAAATAATAAATTTTGTAATAATAAAGAAATTGTTTTGTTAAATGCTACTATAACATTAACTTATGTTACATAAAACAAAGTTTTTACTAAAAATATATTTTCAAAAATATGCTCCTGAATGTCTGATTTCTTCATTAATAGGAAAAAAAAATCTGCAAATGGGCTATTGATAATTTTAAATTTATTTTAAAATAAATAATTCATTGCAATGGTTTTGCAAATTTCAGGAAAAACTATGAGAAAATTTCTTACTTACGAAAAACAATTTCAAATAGTAACAAAATATTTGTTTAATCACATTAAAGAAAAATAATTGCACTTATTTCTCTGCTCATTAAAGTCAGTTTAAAAACTGCTAATGTTAATTAGTTAATAATGTTGTATATACAATAATAATGTTTTATATACAATAATAATGTTGTATATACAATAATGTTGTATATGCAATAATAATATTGTATATAAAATAATAATGTTGTATATACAATAATAATGTTGTATATACAATAATAATGTTGTATATACAATAATAATGTTGTATATACAATAATAATGTTGTATATACAATAATAATGTTGTATATACAATAATAATGTTGTATATACAATAATAATGTTATTAACTCTTATGCACAGCTAACACAGCAATGTAAAAATTGCAATTAAATTTATCTATAATTCATTCATTTATTGCATTTTTCAGCAAAAATTTACAAGAAAATAAATACGAAGATTTAAAGAAAAGAAAAACAAACTTAAAACAAAGTTCAGTTGAAAAAAAAACTGTCTTAGTTAAATACAACAATTATTATATATTATTACATAATTATTAAAATGATGTATTAAATATTTTTTATCAAAATATTAAAAAAAATAAAAACTTCAATCATTTATGAAAAAAGGATTTTTCACCACCATTAAAATAAAAGTAATCTAAATAAGTGAAGCAAAAAAATTAATATAAATAGTTTACACCATATTTATTTGTCAACAAAACGAATTAAAGGAGCATATCGTGAACAATAAAACTATTTTGAACACATTTTCAAAACATAAATGATTTTATGAAATTTTTGTATATGCATTTTCCAAATTACATCCTGATTATTTTTAAAAACATTGTTTTTCAGTATTCTGATTTTTTTTCAACCATGACACAGCAAGAATTTATTTTGGGAGGTCAAAATAGATCGAATGTTTTAGTCATTTTAGGTGGTCGTTGACTGTTGACTGGCTGTTATTTTCCACGTTATATATATATATATATATATATATATATATATATATATATATATATATATATATATATGTATTTTTAATACTTTTGATTAATTTATTAATTTTCGTGTACAAATAATGAACTTTGTGTATATTTATATATATATATACATATATATATATATATATATATATATATATATATATATATATATATATATATATATATATATATATATATATATATATATATATATATATATATATATATATATATATATATATATATATATATATATATATATATGTATATATATATATATATATACATATATATATATATATATATATGTATATATATATATATATATATACACATATATATATACACATTTATCTATACACATATATGTATAAATATAATTTCAAACAAATTTATTTCCACCAAGGCTCCAGGTAGTTATTATTTAAGTTGAAATTTAATAGGAAAATAGTTAATGTGCAAGAAATTTTTTACCAAAAGATTTAAAAAGCTGAAAACCTAACCAGCTTTGCACCCTTTATTCATCTATTAGGCAGGATTAGATGCATTTATAATACATTGTTTCCAGTTTAGGATGATGAATGGTGGATCTTCTTGACTCAATGCATGTGATATGCTTGTGTCTTTTATGACTAAACAGCTCATTCTATTATCTCCTAATGAGGGTACAGTTCTAAACCTCAGTTTTATGGTTTTGAGGTAGGTTTCCCGAACTCTGTGGTAGCTCTCAGAGAGGCTGATTCCATTAACAGTTGTAAAATCTCAAAATACTAACAGTGCCATGTTGTGCATGATGGTGTCCTGTTTGTACCTTTGGTGTGCATTGTCAAGGCCGCATTTGGAGCCCATTGTTACAGCTTAGGGTTTAATAATAATAATGAGGCAATTGGGCTGTTAAATAGTGTACTGAGTACTATCTGTGCTTTGAGTCAGGTTCTTTAACAAATCCAAAAAAATCCGTTCACTAGTATTCATGGTCTTACAAATTTTCTTTCATTGAATCTTAATACTTGTACACCAGACAAGTTGACCAGAACTGCTTGCTCTTTGTAAGACTAATTTGAAGTTATTTCTGATCAAGTTAACTAAGCTCTTTCATTTTCTCCTCAAGCCAATATTGTTGTTGTTTGTGAATGTTTATCACACTGAATGGCTTTGCTCTAGGGTCAGTGACTCTGCAGTTGTTAAGGCCAACAACTTTTGCCTTTCTCAATCTCTAACATAAATAGTCAACTTTCAAACTTGCTTTCCAGACAATCCGAATCATTTACCTCAGTTTCTCCACACTCACCCTTAGGTGCTTCTGGTCTTGGTTTGATCTCTCAAAAACTGTTATCGCATTTATCATATATATATATATATATATATATATATATATAAATATATATATATATATATATATATATATATATATATATATATATATATATATATATATATATATATATATATATATATATAATATATATATATAGATATATATATATATATATATAGTATATATATATATATATATATATATATATATATATATATATATATATATATATATATATATATATATATGATAAATGCGATAACAGTTTTTGAGAGATCAAACCAAGACCAGAAGCACCTAAGGGTGAGTGTGGAGAAACTGAGGTAAATGATTCAGATTGTCTGGAAAGCAAGTTTGAAAGTTGACTATTTATGTTAGAGATTGAGATATATATATATATATATATATATATATATATATATATATATATATATATATATATATATATATATATATATATATATATATATATATATATATATATATATATATATATATATATATATATATATATATATATATATATGTATATATATATATATATATATATATATATATATATATGTTAAAAGGGTGGAAGTCCAATAATCTAAACTTGTAATTAAGTTCAAAAGGTAAATTAGACTGTGCCTTCCTAATTCCAAAAAGTTATTATTGCATTGCATAAGTTCAATCTTTTTTTGTGTAGTTAATGTTCTTTTGTAGATACTCTAACATAAAGTTATGTAGTTTATTATTGTCTGAATATAAAATATTGTGGCATGGCTCTAAATATTTTTAGAGGAGAAAATTGAAAATAATCCAACCAGACAGGTATGCAGTGCCTGCACTTTTATTAGGAGCACCATTTAATGGAAATATTGAAAAAAAGGAGAATTTCCACTTGCAAAAACAGCAACTGCCACAGTTACTTAGTTGCCTCTCTCATCAGAAGTAATATGACCAATTTGTTTAAAATCTTATGCAACACTTTGATCTGTATTACCAGTTTTATCTATAGTTTAAATATCTTTACTCCATACTTAAAAACTAATTTTCTCACTTCATATAGGAGATAATCTATAATAATTACCAAAACCTTTTGTTACATTGTTTTTGAATCTTTTTGTAAGTCAGTGAAGACCTAAGTTAACAATATTATAGTTAAAACAGATAATATTACAAATAAAAATGCACAATTATCACAAACATACAAACACACACACACACACACACACACACACACACACACTTCTTTCAAGAATAATGGTGTATTTGCCTGCCTTTTGTATTGATTTTGCTTCCTTCTAATGAAACAGCATCACCAGCACTTTTTATTACATTTTCAGGAGTTATAGTCCTGTCTGTGTTTCTTATATGCATGTGTGCAAATCTACTCTATTGTATTATAATGAATAAAAAAGGTTAAGAATTGAAAACTATTTTAACTTATGTCTAATCAAAATTAGGTTTAGTTGAAATGTGTTGAAAATTGCTTTTGAAATGTGTTGAAGCTTTTAATGTTTAATATTTTTTAATGTTAATTCCATGATAAAAATTTTGAGAGAAGCTTGAACATAAGTTGTACTTTAACAAAATAAGTTATGCAGTTGCTTTATTCATAACAGGGACTCTATTCATGTGCATTGTTATTATTCTGATATTTTATCTTTGTTGATGGAATCAGCCTCTAAAAGTTACTACAGTATGAGAACTACCAGCCAGCCTCAGAACAATTAATTGAGTTTTAGAGTTGTATTTTAACATTTCAATACATTTTTTTATTTAAATAAAATTGTTTGTTACAACAGTTTAAATATTTTTAAATTTAGTTATTGATTAACAGCAAAAAATAGTTAATAAACTTTTTTTTATCATATAGGTTAATCTTATTATATAAAGGTTAATCAACATCTAATGGCTAGGTAGTAGTCATTACAAATAGCATACATTTAATGACTAGGTAATAGCAATTAAAAACAGACTACCTGACAAGAAAATTTAATGTGGGCCATGTGTTACTAAATGATAGCCACACTCGATTTATAGGGTGGCGTAAATGTGGGCTTTTTGTGCCAATGGTATTTATACATTTTAGGTGGTAGCCACATATGGTCCTCATGTAGCTATAATTCATTTGTCATCTATGTGTTATAAATACATAATGCCATCCACATCTACACCATCCCATAAATAGAGTTTGGCTGTCACATGTGGTGTACATCAAATTTTTTTATCGGGTAATCTACATTTAATGACTAGGTAGTTCCCATTAAAAGTTAATGAAACCATTCAACTTTTTTTTTACTGTTTGCTTAATGTTAAAAAAATTTAAAGATTTAAAACTTGAGTTTGAGTTAACACAACTGGCTGCGTCCACTCAAATTCATGTTTTTCTAGTGTGCATATGTATTTAAAGTTAATATAAGGCTACCACTGCAATTATTTATAAACTATTTGGTTTAGATATTGCAGCAGCAACAAAATTTAAAAATTAATGCACTTGAAAAACAAGTTAACGAGCTTCGTATCAAGCACAACGAATCTGTTCAAAACTTACAATCTAAGTTTTTAGAAGAAAACATAAAATTTGAGAAGGAGTCTAAAGATGAATTAAAAAGACTAACTAAAGAAGCTAAAAAGGTTTGTTAAAAAAAAAATGTTTTCGTTGTTGGTTTTTTATCATTCAATTAAATATTAATTGCATTTATATATTAAAAAAAAATTTTCGTTTTGTTTTGTGGTTTTTAACTCATTTTATTTCATGGTAAATTTTATCTAGCTTTTGTAATTTAATAGGTTTATGAACTAAAAAAAGAAAAAATGTTTATTTAAACGAAATTTGAATAAACAAAAAATAAAACTTTAAAATAAATGAAAAAGTTTTAAATTTTATGACTCAAAATATCTATCAGAAAATTTTTTTAATTTTATTCTAAAGATCATAAATTACACAGTGTAATAAAAACAAAAAAAGTTTGTTCCTGGTTTGTAATTAATTTTTTTATATTGTTTAGATCTTGAATATGTAAAAAAAATAATGTTAAAGTTTACATAACAGTTTGGTAACAGTTAAAGTTTACATAACAGTTTGGTAACAGTCTTTGCATTTCTGTTATTTATATGACCTCTCTAGCAGTGCTGGAATAAGGGAGGGGATTTTCACTGGGTTTCGCCATGTTTGGGGTCCGCCCCTTTTTTTATGTATCGCTGCCTATTTCTTTAACTTGATTTGATAATTATAATATGACCGGCAAAATACAAAAAATCAATTTAAAGATGCTTAACTTTAAAACACTTTTCTACAACGTTTGGTTTCAGCAAATAAGAAATCAGAGTCTCACTGCCAATTTTTTTTAATTTTTACTTTCAATGTGAAAGTGCTCTCCTGTCCAACTGTTTTTTTAACTTTCACTTTCAATGTGAAAGTGCTCTTCTGTCCAACTGTTGAATGTGGAGCGCTCTTGATCTGCTTTTAGTTTTGGTGTGGTGAATGACCATCCCCCTGAACAGTTTGTTCAGGGGGATGGTCATTCACCACACCAAAACTAAAAGTTTTTGGAATGAACAATTTGAATCAGGTTCTTAGTATTTACTTTTCTGTTCTTATTGTCAACCTTCTGTTCTTATTGTCAAGTTTCTGTTGGAAAGTTTTGAAGCTTCTAAGATGAATACAGTCAGATATTGGCCACAGTAATGGAATGTTTTGGAATGTCCTGGATATTTACAAGTGTCTTGGAATGTCTTGCAAAAAAAAAAAAATTCAAAATTGTCCAGAAATGTCCTGAAATTGTTATTTTTGTAAATAATGTTAAAAAATTGCTATTAATATTGAAGTTGAATTATTTTTTTAAATACTGTATAAAAAATAGTTAAATTTAGTTTTAACAACTAGAAAAAGTTTTCAATGGTTTATTATTTGTTTAATAAGATTTTTTTTATAATTATTTTGTTTTTGTACTTACTTTAAATTTTGTTTTGTCTTCATTTTGTTTTTTTATATTTGAGAAATGTTTTAAAAATTCATTTCAAAAGTAAAAAGCATTACAAGTTGTCACTACCACCACCACCACCACAAGTATTAAGTTTGTTTTGCTAATTATTTTACAGAATCAAGTGTTTCATTACCTTGATAATCTAGTACAGTTCAGATTATTGCAAAGCCACCTACTTCTGAGGGATTAGAATTAAATCAGATTTATATCTAGACTCAAATTTTTGAAATCAGTTATTAAAATCTTTTAATCAAGGCATATCTAGACTTAACATCCAAATGATGATTCAGATACCTTCAGATGGGCCTAATGTCAATATAAAGTTTATATGACTAGTAAAAGCAGATTAAAGAATATCCTGTGAACTTAAAGAATATTCAGTGAGCTTAAAGAGTATCCAGCATTAATATTGACAAATTTGGCCTCCACATAATTTATGGAAACCTGAAGACTTTAATCAATAAATATAAATGGTTGGGGAAAAATTGAAAGCAATGTGGAAATTTCTGGATGACTGTTCTTCACAGAGAGAAATCCATGAAGTTATATCTGAGATAAAGGTTTACCCTTTACCTTGTTTTGACCATCGTTGGTCTGAGAATCAAAAATTTAGGGAACGAGCAGCAATTATTTTTCCTGGGTTTATTGAAAACTTAAACAGTTTACCAAAATCAAAGCAGCCGTATGAAAAGTGGTTTAATGTTTTAAATGATACAATAGAAGATCCTAAATTTATTGCTAAATTAAATTTAGTTGAATTTATATCTCCAAAATTAAATCTATTTCTGAGGTTTTTTAAAGTGAGAAACCTATTGTCTTATTTTTATTGGATGTTTTAAAAAGCATACTAGGCTAAATTCTCAATATTATTGTTAAATAATGTGTTGGTATAATTCAAAAAATCATGAAGCTAACCTTGACTGAAAGTCGATTTTGTTGGGTAATTATCCTAGCATCATTATTTCTTAATTCAATAGGAGTTTTCTGACTTTATATTGATTTCAAAAAATGTTTTAGTTGAATATGATCAATTTAGAAAGTATGTTAGTCAATTTAGTTGACAGTCACAAAGCCTACGACACTGGGATGGCCAGGGAGCAATGGCCCCCACCTTTTTTCCCCAACTTTTTATATTTTTAAAGAACCTTTATTTTTTTCTATTAAAAAATTTATATTTTTTCAGAAATTGACATTTCCCCCCCCCCCCCCCTCAACCAACCCCCTCTGCCCCTCACCCAAAAAAAATAATTACTCTGTTTTGTTGAACAAAGTAATTATTTTTTTCGTAACATGAAACTATGAAATAAGTAAAAGCATTTAAGTTTTAAAAAAACATTAATAACGACTGAATTTTCTAGATTTGCAGTTGTAATCGTGGTTGCACTTCCACATTAGTCCTCTGGGTATAATCTCAGCTTACTATAAATACTCAGCTTTCAGAAAAATATTTTTATTTAGTTTTAAATGTGTTTTTCTTCAAAGTTGTGTTTTTCATTTAAATTTTTGGTAGTACCAATATCTTGAACAGTTGAACTAAAAAATTGTATTTTTCAAAAAATTGAAATTTTAGAAAGTACCAGTGTTTTGATCGCAAACCCAAATTTCTGATTTAATCATTTTTTTTTTTTTATAATAATATAAAATAACAAACCAGTGAAATGGACTTAATTTAAAATAACAATCCAGTGAAATGGACTTAAAAATCTATTACACGGTGTTGTTTACGTTTTTTAAGTTTAAAAAAAAATTGTTATGTTGAACTTCAACATTTTATTCAGATATTAGTAAATTTTGCTTATTTAATTCAAAAGTAAGTTTATGTTTGTTTCGTTTTCTTATAAGTTAAAGTTTACTTTTTTTCATTTACTTTAATTTTATTGAAAAGCAAAATATTTTGTCAAGGAAGTGCATTTATGTCTCCATAACCACTCGATGCAAATAAAAAGAGAGAATTGTGCCCTTAGAAAAGAATTGATTGATCTCATTGAAAAGAATTCCTACTTACATCAACAAAAAGTTCGACTTGAAGAAGAAAAAAAGTTTCTTACAAGAGAAAAGGAGACCAATGCGAAATTGGAAAGTTTGAAGTTAGCTCGTTTTAATGCTACGGAAAAATTATTCAATCATCAATCATCGTGATTAATAACTGTCGTTATCTGGTTATTTAAGTTTCTATGTTATTTAACTTTTTTAAAAATATATATTATGGTGACATAATAAAATGGGAGGAAAGAAATGACAAAAGCTTAGACGCTTTTGTTATTTCTTCCGTTTTTTTCCTTTCGTTTGCATTTTCTTTTTCCACTCTCATGGTAGGGGTGGCTTTTTTTTAGAAGTGCATACTTTAGACCTTATTCTACCACAACTACAATATTGTTAATACAAATACAATATTGTTAATTTAAGCACATGTTTATAATTTAATAGAGAATTTTTGAGATTTGTAGTTTAAATTTTTAAATTGCATAAATGATAAGCATATATTACATATTGGGCTATTATACATTAATATAGGGAGGAGTGGGACACCATGATACATGGGACCCCATGAAACATTTTAATTGTGAAGGCATCTTAAAGGTTATAACAACCACTTTCATATAGTGAAACAGTTACTACTAGAGCTAAGTTTAAAAAAGTATATTTATATCATTTGAAATCATTAGGTCTGCGAGGGGTCGAAATTTGTGTTTTTTTGATGACAAAGTAATTTATTAGTTTTTAAAGCACATAAGTTTTAACGTACCTTATTTAACGTGTCTTTTGGTAAGTAACATTATTTCGTAAACTACAATCCATAAGCTCTTTACTTCATTAAAATCATTCAAAAAACAAGTTGATACTTAAAATAAAGCGATTGTTTTCTATTAGAAAGTATGGGGTAACTTAATACAGCATTTGTAGGGAGCCCTAAAGCTGCAGAATAGTACTCCATTCTGTCTTAAACAAATTTAAAAATAAGTTCTTTTAATATTTATAATTATTTTTCAAAGGATTTATGTAAATATAATACAAGGAGATCCCATTCCGATACAAAGCCATTATTTATTAACGCTTTAGAATGACACTTAAAACGATATATTATCTGATCTTCTAAAATGTGATTTTGACCATTGAATGCATTATTTTGTTTATAATTAGTTTTGTGTTTATATTTAAAGTAAAAATCTGCCAGTTCTCTATGTTTTATACTTTTTATTTACTTTTTTAATGATGCTCATAGTGTGCATCAAGGTACCCCATGGGTGGGGTACCTTAAAACAAATTTTAAATTTTACTTTAAATAGTCTCACAAGTTTAACCTATTATATTTTGCTAATTTATAAATTTAATTTTGTAGGTATAAATTCATTCTACAATATAAACCTATCGCCTAAAAAAAAGGTGTATTAAAAAATACACCTTTTTTTTAGGCGATAGTTACGAAGCAAAAACCAAAAGTGTGTCATAGTGGCCCACTCTCCCCTACAGAAATTTTTCGATTTTAATTCATATTTGAGTTCTTATCAACTAGGTCCAAAGAAAGTTTGTGTTTTTTCTTGTCTCGAAACTATTTTACGTAAGCATTTATTGCTTATATGTGAAATCATTATTTCCAGCATAATATAAATCTAATATTTGTGTTTAGGAAACTTTAAAAAAAATTTTTTTTCTAGTTAAACTTAAAATTTTTATTTTAAAAAAACAATCATTCTTCTACCGTTGTAGATGAAGTATGATTGTTCCTTTATTTCGGATATATCTGTTTTTTTGATTAGAACATCATCAAGAAGTAAAGTTTAAAAAAATAAATTTACACCGCAAAACTTTTGTTTAAATATCGAACAACCAGGTAAGCAAATATGATATAAATATCGAACAACCAGGTAAGCAGATATGACATAAATTTTGAACAACCAGTTAAGCAGATATGACATAAATATCAAACAACCAGGTAAGTAAACATGAAGTTATTTTGTCGTACAATTCATCAACAATTTTCTTCAAAATCTGATTTCATCTGATGTTTTTTGTAGGACACTTAATTAAGCCCGATACGTGACTCCAATTAATAATGAAACTAAAATTAACGTAGTGAACAATATTACAATAATTATGAGGTAAAAATATCTAAACCTTCCTAACTTTAGTTCTGTAGTTTTTATTAAGGTAAACTATGTAGGAAATTTATGAGTAGAACATAATTTTTTATCTAATGCCTGTCTAACATTAGATAAAAATCTGCAATAAAACAGATATACTAAAAGCTATATAAATGTTATTTTTACTATTCAACTTTAATACTGTTTGATTTTTTTGATCCTAAAATTTATTTACTTCCTAAATATTATATTTTACAATTATATATTGTAATTGCTAAATAATGTTCACCACTAACATTTGAAAACGGAAGTATTTTGCAAATAATGTTACAACTATTTTTTCGAAAAATAAGAAAATGTAAAAAGGAATTGGGAAAAAAATAAGAAAGTATTGGCCGTTCTTATCGAGCAATGTTGTTATAATTTTAAAACGACTCAAATTCTTTGTCTCAGTCATGTCTATGCGGGATTGCTTGACGTGCAAAAGAATGTTTCATATTCATAGAACGTGTTTCAAATACTACTTATGTACTAAATGCTAGAAAGAGAGGCATTTTTCGCTATTGGTAAGCTATTCTAAATGCAGTTTATTAGAAAGAATAGCTCCAAAACACGCATCATTACCTTTTTATGCAAGTCAGTCTTATGAGCGCTAAAACATTTTTATTTTTTATTTTTTTCTGATCATTGAATGCTTTTGTGGTGAACGTTTTGAAATGAAAGAAATAGCGTTTAGATAAGAGATTTTGATAACCGTTATGCGGTATGATGAATTGGTAAACACGTCATACTGGATTCACAGATAGATTATAAACTATGCGACGCGCTAAATCACTAGTTTTCCTTCAGGAAAATGCAATGTAAAACAAAATATATTTTATACCATAAAAAAGCTTTTTAAAGAAAATTCTTTTTAAAATATTAGATTTGATTTTAAATGATAACCTAATTAAAAAAATTGAATCCAAAAATTCTTTTTTGAGTTTTTATGAATGAAAATTTATCATGTTTTCTTCACAAAAGTTTTATTGAATAACAAATTAGTAAAAAAATCAATTGTACTAATTTATTATTTAATACAAAAACTTGCGTGTAGACTTATATTATCCTAAAGTTAAGTAAAGTTTTTTAAAAAAGCAGGTTACACACCAGTCTTTAAATTACCAAAAAATTTACAACATATACTCACCACAACAACATATACTCACCACAACAACATATCACTCACCACAACAACATATCACTCACCACAACAACATATCACTCACCACAACAACATATACTCACCACAACAACATATCACTCACCACAACAACATATACTCACCACAACAACATATCACTCACCACAACAACATATCACTCACCACAACAACATATACTCACCACAACAACAAAAACTCACCACAACAACATATCACTCACCACAACAACATATACTCACCACAACAACATATCACTCACCACAACAACATATCACTCACCACAACAACATATACTCACCACAACAACAAAAACTCACCACAACAACATATACTCACCACAACAACAAAAACTCACCACAACAACATATACTCACCACAACAACAAAAACTCACCACAACAACATATACTCACCACAACAACAAAAACTCACCACAACAACATATACTCACCACAACAACAAAAACTCACCACAACAACATATACTCACCACAACAACAAAAACTCACCACAACAACATATACTCACCACAACAACAAAAACTCACCACAACAACATATACTCACCACAACAACAAAAACTCACCACAACAACAAGTTTTATCCAGATGTGTACAAATTTCAATGCTCCGGCAAAAATATTTATACCACTTATAAGACATGTTAAACTATCAGACAAATATCCAGTTCTACTTCTAATGAACAATGAGTCCCATATTAATATTAAAGCTACAGATAACTCCAAGGCCAATAACATTATCTCGTTGACGATTCCACCTCATACAGGACAGGACTGTATTTGGAGCTTTAAAAAAATATTATAACACAGCAGTCAGCAATATAATATGATAATGCTAGAAAAGCCTTTAACTATACATGACGTTGCTTCTCTGTTGGGAAAAGCAACTTTCCCAGTCATTTTCTCCTTCTAAAATTGTCAATGGATTCAAGGTTATTTTTACAAGGTTATTTACCCATTTAATTCCAATATATTCAGAAACAATGTATTTATATCATCTAACGTAACTGACCGAATAAATTCAGATAATTTGACACCAACTACATTATGACATCAACCACTTTCAAAAGATATGACATCAACCACGTTCCATTGACAAAATATGACACTAACCACATCCCATTCACATGACAAGATACCAAAAGTTCTCTACAAACAAGACATAACACCAAATAAATCCAACATACAAGACATTGTATCCGTTGAAGAAATTCGACCCTTTCCAAAAGCGGCACCTAGAAAATTGAATGTTTAAAATAGATGTAAGGGAATAACTCGCATTCTAACCAATACTTCAGAAAAAAAAAAAAAAAAATCGAAAGCCGTAAGTATAAACAAATATGTAGAAAGAATGAGATTGCAGGGTTATGAAATCGAAAGAATGCTTAATGAACCATAAATTTATGTATTTCAAGATATTAGTAGTATATTTAGACTTTTATAAACAAAAGATAAATAATTATAATAAAAGTAATATTGTACAATTTTTAGTTAATGATATTAAAAGCTTAATTTTTTTTTTTTTTTTTTTTTATGACAACAAACTTTTCAATACATATTAAAAAAATATGTTTCTGAGTACACCATCTCTTTCAAGGTAAAACATAGTATGTTTCAAGTTAGAACTTTAAGGTTTATCCAAAATTTATAATATTTGGGAACATATGCGGCTATAATTTTTTTGTAAAATATTTTCTTTTGTTTTTTATTTGTTTAAATTTAAGTGGCGCCGGTTCAACATACGCCTAACAACGTAAAACTCTCTCTCTAGTTTATCTTGTATCATTGCGGCTTTTAAAGATTCATCGTTACCCTTTATGAAGTTATTCCTCCTCGACTTTTTAACTTTCAGTTAATAATCAGCTGTAATAGATAGCACAATCCAAAAAATAATCTTATTATAAATAAACATGGAATAACAAAATTTCAGTAACATGTCCCAGTGGGCACCCGACGTCAATCCGACGTCGGATTTACGTACGATTTTCATCAGCGATGTCAAAAGACCTATTCCAACGTTGTTCCGATGTCAGTAAAATGACGTCGGGCGATGTCTTTATCTCAACATCCCCTGACGTCGTTTCGATGTAATTTGACGTTGTTTCGACATCTTATAAAAGACGTCCAAAAAACGTCGCAGTACTGACATCGATCCAACGTCGATAAAAAGACGTCGGGCAACGTCATAATATTAACGTACTCCGATGTCTTTTGACGTCTTCCGACGTCAATCCAACGTCCTTAAAACGACGTCGGAACAACGTCGTAAGACATCGCTGATGAAAATTTAATCCAAACCCAACAATATGTGTGCAATTGCGCTCTTCAATAATTATGTGAACTAAGCGTGTTTTTTTATTAATGGAAAAAAGTTTGAATAATGGTTGATAAAACATCATGAGGTTTTGTATGATGCACTAGCATAGTTTTTTAACTATTAACATTTTCGAGTATACATTTTTTATAATATATAACTATTCGTTTTAATATTTATATAATATTTAAACAAAATTATTTCTTATCAAAGTAATAATTCCCAAATAGCTACAAGTGTACATTACTAAATAAACACTTAATCTAATATGTTACTGTGGTGTAGTGGTAAGCGCGTAGGATTAAGTATCTAATAGACCGAGGTTCGGTTAAGCTAAAGACAACGTTTTTTAGTTTTCAAAAAACACGTTGGATTTACATCGGAATGCCGACGTCGCGCGATGTCAGTTTATCCGACGTCAAATAACATTTCCATTTCCAACGTAAACCCAACGTCGATCCGACATCGAGATCCGACGTCGCTCGACGTTCGTTCGACGTCGAAATGCCCACTGGGGTAGAATCACTGTAGTTATTCTAATTTGCGGCGGACAACGCTTCTTAAAAAATGTAAAAAATCTCCCATTTAACTATAAACACTAGTTAAAATCTAACATTGACACAAGAAATGCATTGAATAGTAAAGATACGTCCTAGCACCCAGTGGGCATTTCGACGTCGAACGAACGTCGAGCGACGTCGGATCTCGACGTCGGATCGACGTTGGGTTTACGTTGGAAATGGAAATGTTATTTGACGTCGGATAAACTGACATCGCGCGACGTCGGCATTCCGATGTAAATCCAACGTGTTTTTTGAAAACTAAAAAACGTTGCCATATGCGGGTTTCGAACCTCGATCTATTAGACACTAAATCCTACGCGCTTACCACTACACCACAAGATCATAATACCGTAGTGTTTAATTTAGTAATCTATACTAGTAGCTATTTGGGAATTATTACTTTGATAAGAAATAATTTTGTTTAAATATTATATAAATATTAAAACGAATAGTTATATATTATAAAAATGTATACTCGAAAATGTTAATAGTTAAAAAACTATGCTAGTGCATCATACAAAACTCATGATGTTTTATCAACCATTATTCAAACTTCTTTCCATTAATAAAAAACACGCTTAGTTCACATATTTATTGAAGAGCGCAATTGCACACATATTGTTGGGTATGGATTAAATTTTCATCAGCGATGTCTTACGACGTTGTTCCGACGTCGTTTTAAGGACGTTGGATTGACGTCGGAAGACGTCAAAAGACATCGGAGTACGTTAATATTATGACGTTGCCCGACGTCTTTTTATCGACGTTGGATCGATGTCAGTACTGCGACGTTTTTTGGACGTCTTTTATAAGATGTCGGAACAACGTCAAAATACATCGAAACGACGTCAGGGGATGTTGAGATAAAGAAATCGCCCGACGTCATTTTACTGACATCGGAACAACGTCGGAATAGGTCTTTTGACATCGCTGATGAAAATCGTACGTAAATCCGACGTCGGATTGAAGTCGGGTGCCCACTGGGCACGTAAAAACTTTAGCGATGCACACTGGGGGACAAAATTGCTTAAAAACTGGACATTTGACAAAAATAAAAAAAGACGTCATGAAACATTTTTTGGTGGTAATGTATAAAAGAGTCTCTGGTCTATCTTAACCACGTGTTTTTTTAGGGTAGGACTGATCTTTAACCCTGTAGAACCCATTATCTAGCTGTTTAAAAGCACTTTTGTGTGTATAAGTAGAAACGTGTCAGTTACATCAATAGAAACTAGGTAACGAAACCAGGTTATAAATACATGAACTAATGACGTTCTTTTTTGTGTTTTTTAGCAGTTTTAAACGAATAAAACTAATCGAGATTTTGAGTAACTTATTTTGAGTGACATTTTACATTAAATTCGAATTACAGTAAATTATTTTAGTGAATATGTTTTAATACTATTTATTCATTCAAGATTTTCTTATCACTTACCGGTTTTTTTAAAAACTTTACTCGAAAATACAATAAAAACGTCTGATAATTGTGAATAAATGTTTAAAAATCTATCGAGTAACTTTTATCGAATAATTATTTAACTCCAAATGTAAAATAAAAATATGTAAAATAAAAACCAAATAAATTACAAAACATAAAAGATATTGTTATAGTTTTCAAACAAATTTTTAAACTTTACTCAATACGCAACTAAATAATAATAAATCCCCAGCTGTTAGGTAAGTTTGAAACACCTTAAAAACTCGCGTAATAACATTCTCGTAATGTGGCTCTCTAAATTTTACAATAGTATTTTAACGAACAGTAAGGTACCAAAAGATCTGTTAACTTCAAAAATTATTCTACCTAAGTTATGATAATAATGTCAAGTTAAAACCAAAAAAAAGAAACAATAAAGAGTCTAAAAAGATTACAAGCTCCCCTTACAAGATAAGAATCAAAAAATCTTTTAAAATAAGTTGTTCAAAAAAAGATGATTGGTTTAGATATAATATCTGTAGATTCTTAACTTTATAATATATAACAGTTTTTTCTACTTAATTTTTAGAAAAATTTCTTACAACTGTCTGTTTTAAAGAATTTTATCATAAATCAGAAAAAGTTTCTTTATTTTATTATTATTTTTTTTTTTGTGGTGTATGGGTGTATAGACGTGTAGTTTATATGAGTATGTTATTTTTTTCTAGATTTTAATGTCTAAACATATTTAAATACTAACTTGTATTTTTTCATTTTTAAAGCTAATCAACGAATAACTGATGTTTTTTAACTGTTCTATTTGGCGCTACCTACTTGCAAACCACTCACTTGAAAATAATGAAAAATTTGTTAATGTCGAATTTTGTTACTTTAATTGTCTTATTTTCAAAAATTAGTTTTTTGTTTTTTAGTTTTCTTATATCAATGAACTTAAAAAATTTTATAAAAAATAGTGATACTTATGATTAATCCACAACTTGTTTGGATAAATATATATGTGCCCCGCACTATCTATATGCCCCGCACTACCCTAACTCTAAAAGTCTAAAAATCTTTCATATCTATTAACCTCTAGAAACCTTATAATCTTTCATAAGAATTAATTAGTAGATTTCAAACTTATGGAGTAATAAACATTATAAAACAGAATTTTTGATTTCTTGAAAAAGTTGTTTCTAACAACATTACACATGTTGATGCCGATGCCGATGTAAAAAAAAAAATATGTTTAAAAAGAACGGTTCTAGTTATGGAATTTAAAAGAACAAAGAACATGATTTAAAACTTTGATGAAAGAAAAAATTCCTGGATCAATTAACAAATTGGCAGAGGAAAATACATATTGTTAGTATTAAATGGTATAATTTATGAGAGTCGTGTTTGTCGGAGTTGTCGGAGTCGAGAGTTGGCTGGCCTTTTAGCTGGTTTGGCCTTCACTAATAATTTTATTAATAAAATATTATTTTACTTCTAATTTTATTATTGGGTGTTAAAAAATGTATATTTATAAAAAATAAATGAAAATTATTTTTTGTTTATAAATAAGTTTTATATTGTCTTTAAAATACAGTAATTTAATCAAAGAATTCTTATTAATAACAAACATAATATATAAATATAAATACAATGAGTATTAGTACAAACATACTCGAATATAATTTCTTTGATTATATATTTTTTTACTATGGTAAAAGCTTTTTTTAAATGGAAAAACGAATCTATATTGCTATCGTATGAGGAAATTAAAAAGCTATTTTATTAAATACGATTTTGAAATGACGCAATAAAAAGTTTACGACCCAATGTTTTTTTTTAAACTACACTTTGAATTGAATTTGAGTTTACAAGTGATTTAAATTATCAGTGATTATATCACTTTGAACATACAACGCATTTTAATAACTCGTTGTAGATATTCGAATTACAAGGGTGAGTATCACAATCAATCTGTATGTGTGATAAGTAAGAAGAAATAATCTTTTTTGCTATAAATTCAGATTCTGGTGAAATACCTAATGCCTGATCATTAACACACATTATTTGAGATTGTTTTGTACCGTGATGGTAGTCCATCAAGTAACCGAAATATTCAATGTTCCACTCTGGTGGACATTCTGTAGTAGAAGGTATCATAATTTGTGCAGATTTTCCGAATGCTTGACACAAAGCACAAGGAACATATTTTCTAGTGCCAACTAACTTTGCAAAATTAGTTTCAGCATTCTCATTGGTATTATATTTACTTTGAATATTATTCGTATTAAATGGTTGTTTAGATTTATCAGCGGTATTTTTAGCTAGAGTGACAATGTTTTTAATTGGATCAGTCACGCTTTTTTTTAAGCCACTAGTTATCGAGAAATCATTTGTAATAAAGTTACTCGCAGTAGTTTTATCTTTATTTTTAACGTCAGTTGGTTTAGCTGAACTTACGGTTGTTTTTTTAATGTCAGTTGGTTTAGCTGAACTTATGGTCGTTTTTTTAATATCGCCAGATTTAGCTGAACTAGCTATCGGATCATCTTTATCTAAAACTGATGTTGCTTTTGTCGGACCATCTATTTTTTGAAGTGAATAAAAAATAGCTTCGAATGGAAGAGTATTTTTTTTATTTGAAACAGGGTTTGTTTTAGTTAAGTTTATACCTAGTTTTATTTTATTAGGAGTTAGTATTTTTGAACCAGTAACTGAATTAGTCACAAGAGTAGTTTTTTTCAAAGAAACATTATTTACGTTAGGAGTTGTTTTGCTTGAACCAAAAATTGTTATAGCTTGAACACCCGGAACTTTTGTTATTGCTTGACCACCTGGAACTTTTGTTATTGCTTGACTACCTAAAACTTTTGTTGTTGTTTGACCACCTGGAGGTTTTGTTATTGCTTGACCACCTGGAACATTTGTTATTGTTTGACCACCTGTAACTTTTGTTATTGCTTGGCCACCTGGAACTTTTGTTGGAACAACTTGTATTTTTTTGTGTGTTAGTTCAACTTTTTGAGTTGTTGGTTCAGTTACCATTTTTGATAAACCAACTTTTTTTGTTGTTGGAATTATATTCAGAATAACTGCTGCTTTAGTTTCTTTTTCTTTTAATTTTGTTTCTTTGTTTTCTGCTACTATACTTAGAATTTCTTTGTTAAATATTTTAATGTCTTTAGTAAAACTTAAGTTATTAAATTTGTAGTTTTTTTCATTTACTTTTTTATTATAATTGAAATCTGTTGTTAATATATGCTGTCGGTAGCTACTGTAGCTTTCGTTGACGAGCAAACTTTTATTATCATTGTTATATAAATGGCTACAATTGTTTTCTGCGTCAGTTTGTTTTTTGCAATCGCGACTAGTATTTAAAGTTTCATCATTTAGGTTTGTGTCACTAAAGATATTGAAGTTGTATTTTTGCTCATGAAGCTTGTTGCCATGGTTTTCGTGTCTGGGGCTTGTAATAATCTTTCTGATTTGTTTTTCATTTGATTTAACTTGCGTAACATGAGGTGTACCTTTCAAAACTAAACTGTCCGTCATTATAGACGACTTTATTGAGGGTTTTATTGACGGTTTTAGCAGTTGTATTTTTTGCATTAAAACATCTTCTTTGAATTCCATTTTTGAAGAAGTAGCGCTTCCTAAATGCAACACTTTTTCTTTTTTAACGCTTATATTAAAATTTTGAGCGGTATTGTCAGGAGAAATACTTTTTTTTGCTCTTGTTTTAAAATTTTTAGAAAAAAAACGATCGGATATGGGAAGACAAACAGCGTTTGAACCAGATGATGTACCATCTGACTGAGCAAGCAAACTCATTGAAATTTGACCTAAACATTAATCAATACATTATAAATTTTATCTAAAAAGTATTTTACTTTTTTGTGTTTTTCAAGTCAACTTTTTATGTCATGCAACCATAAGAATTTTTGAATCTCCAAATAGTAAATCTGATGTAAACTTATTTTGAAATAAATATTTTGAAATACAATAGCATAAATAATTTTAAACTTTTATCACCAGCGTAGTGCTCACCTTAAATTATTAAAAAAACAATAACAATAATAAAATAGTCACTTTTACGTTAAAAATTACCTGAATATATCGTGTTGCTAGTATCTGGACAAGTTGATGAGCCCCATACGGTATAGACTAATTCAAACGCTTCTTTTTGTGATTTTTGGTTATTTCCATCTTTTTCGCTGTTTTCATTCGTATTTGTATCTAAAACTTTGCAATCACAAACTCCTGGATCCCCTTTAAGCCCCTGCTTTCCTCGAGGTCCGTCAAGTCCATTGTAACCCATTTGACCATTTAAACCTAGAAAATTATTTTTTTAACTAAAGATAATTTAGAATTTTTTTTTTCATAAATTTGAAACTTAAGTGACCAAAAATTTGAGAGCCTTAGCGCAGGACGCTTGCTTCAGAATCAAATATATCTGCTTATCTGTTAAAATGACACCAGTAGAAAAATCAGAGTGAATTTTCTATTATATGCTTTTCCTTGGTGCTCTATGACAAGACCGTCTGGTCTTTTTAGAGCATGTTAATAACAACAACAACAACAAAAAGTACTCTTCTTAACAGTGAGAACTGTGAAGTTACACCCTGGTAGGAAGAGTGAAGCTTTATGCAGTTGTACGTTATGGAATTACAAACTTACCTAATAGATTATAGCTTCTAATTAAAAAAATCAAGTAGAAAAAAAAAAAAAAGAAAAAAATGTAAGAAATTTAGAGTAGAAGAAAAATATATCTATTTAAAAAGATTATAATAAAAAGTGAAAAATTTACCTGGTTCTCCTTTTTCTCCCTTACTACCTTGACAGTTTTTTTTGGGAGTCTTATGTTGTGGTAGTAGCTTTGCAGTAGTTACGTTAGAGTTGCTTACATTAGTTGTTGAACATTTAAGTAAATCACTAAGACTGTAATAAAAAATGAAAAATAAAGAATTAATTTGTTATTGGGACCGTAATTAATTTGTAATTGGGATCGTAATTGATAAGGGTAACACGATGAGAAACCACAACTTTTTGCTATTAAAAGTTGAATTTTCTCCTTATTTTAATTTCGTAAATGTGTTACATGAAGTATAGTAATGCAAAAATGTTGCGCAAATACTGGCTATATTACTTTTTAGCATTAAAGATGTGGTAATGGTAGTTCAATGGTAATTGATAAGGGTAACACGATGAGAAACCACAACCTTTTGCTATTAAAAGTTGAATTTTTTCCTTATTTTGATTTCGTAAATGTGTTACATGAAGTATAGTAATGCAAAAATGTTGCGCAAATACTGGCTATATTACTTTTTAGCATTAAAGATATGGTAATGGTAGTTCAATGGTAAATCTGATATTATTAATTGTAATTTATATTTTTATTAAAAATACTTAAACAAAGTATAATAGAAGTACAATAAAGAATGAGATAGAAACTAAAGTATTTTTTAATTGATTATCGCAGAATACTAATGCTTCAATAAATTTATGATATTTTGTATAAAATTACATAAAAATGTATTACCACAAAAAAAAGATATTAATACACTTCCAACACACTTCTTCTCTAGTTTAACTTCCAACTTCTTGATTTTAAAGTTAGTTACTGTTATTTTTAAAGTTATTGCAATTTAATTTTGATTAAGTTTAAATTTAAAGGAACATTCATATAGATAACCAACCATAAAGATAAATAAAGGACATTCATATAGATAACCATAAATAAGGGACATCCATATAGATAATCATCCATAAAGATAAATTTTTGAGTTTTTTGTATATTAGATTATTTAGAGAATAATATCTAATAAAATGCTTTTTATGACTGGTATAGGGAAGAGTTAGGGAGAGTTAGAACAAATATTTATTAACCAAAGACGGATTAACTATAAAAACATTTAGGATTTGATTAAAATAAACAAACAACCTTAATACACTTTTGACCATGATTTGACTAAATTCATTGCACTGTTATTGAAAATAAGTTTGTTTTTGCAAATATATTATTTTGTTCCAATCAAAGCAAATGGTTTACGGAAACCAGTTGCCTTGATTGGATTAGGGATCTCTAAATTGGAAGTGTTCCAATTTGTCAATCCCTAAATTAGAACAATTTGATTCAGTTTGAAAAAACCCATTAAAATTGACAAAAAATGATTTAAAATGATTTTTATCTTTACAGTGAAAATTTAAACAGTTAATTCAAAGTTTATAATAGAATTAATATTACCCAGGCAAATTGAAATTCTACAAAAAAAAATTGCACAAAAGCTTCAACTGCTATGACGTTCTCCTAATTTAATGATAAAAAATCATTAAATAAAGTATTATCTAAGTATTACTAAGTATTTTCAAATTTGCCGGATTTCTACAACCTTTTAATTTTATTATTGATTAAGTAAAGAAAACTTTATAGTTCCAATCAAGGAAACTTTGGACTATTTTGTTTATCGCTGTATATCATGCTTGCAGCAACTTATAAGATAAGTTTATATTGTTATTTTAAATCCCACAGCATTAAACACAAAAAACCGTGTAACCCATAACAGTATAGTTTACCCACCACAATCAATATAGTATGAACACAAAACTAGATCACCAAAGAAAAATGATGCATTTTTGAGGGATAACTTTTTAAAATCTGTTAAAACGTAGAAAAAGGGGTTTTAATAGTAAACGTAGAAAATAAGGGGTTTTACTAGTAAATACAAAATATATTTATATAATTCTTTTTTTTTTCAAAAATAAATTTAGGAGTATTTCTTGATTTATCAAAAGCATTTGATACAGTGGACCACTGTATTCTCTTAGATAAATTAAGACATTACGGAATAGTTAATAAAACTTATTATTGGATTAAAAGCTATCTTACAAACAGAAAACAATATGTAAATAATGCCCAATCTGGAGTGTTAAATGTCGTTTGTGGAGTTCCGCAAGGATCGACTCTTGGTTCACTTCTTTTTTTAATATATATAAATGACTTCTGTAATGCATCCTTAAAACTTAATTCAGTCATGTTTGCAGATGACACGAATTTATTTCTCACCAAAAACGATATCAATAAATTATATGCGGACATGAATATTGAACTAAATAAAGTAAATAACTGGTTTAAGGCTAACAAACTCTCACTTAATGCCGAGAAAACAAACTATATACTTTTTCATAAAAAAAACACAAGAAGAATATCTTTCTCTCAAGTTGCCGAACCTATTTATAAATGATAAATTAATTAAAAAGCAATCCAATATAAGACTCTTGGGAATCGTTGTTGATGAAAAATTATCCTGGCTTCCTCATATAAAATATATCCAGTCAAAAATTACCAAAATCATAGGTTTAATGTATCGAGCTCGCTCGTACATTAATACAATTAATCTACTTTAGGCTAATTCACAGCCTCATCAGTTATGCAAACATTTCATAAGCAAGTACTCAAACAGCAAAGCTTAAGAAACTTTATAGTTTTCAGAAACATGCCTGTAGAATCATTTACTTTAAAAATAGGCGGGAACACGCTAATCTCTTAATGAAAGATATGAAAATGATGAATGTATTTGAAATAAATATCTACCAGCATTTAATTTTCATGTATCGTTACAATCACAATATCTCTCCTATAAGCTTTAATAATAAGTTTGAGTTAAATAAAAATGATAACTATAATCTTAAAGCGAATATGTTGAACACATATAAACTGCCTAGGTTAATAAATAAATATTCAGAATACAGCATTTTATAGAGAAGTCTAAAAGTATGGAATATTTTTCAGAAAGGGTTCAAAGGTACGGTGAGTTCATTCAAGTTCATTCAAGTTTTTAACAAAAAAAGAAATCTTTAAAACCGGTGAAACATTTTTTGTTAATAATGCTTTGGATAAATTCTCTTAAATAAGTTTTTGTTTTGTTTCTACTTTTGTTTGTTGCTTGACAATTTTATTAGCGGATTACGCATTTTGTTATGATATTTTATATAATATATTTTATTGACATTTTAATTTTGTATGTCATATTACGATATTTTAATTAAATCTTGTTAAAGGGATTCTATGAAAAGATTGCGATGACGTTCTGTCATCCTCATCTTCTTTGAGTCCCTATCTGTTTTACTTATTTTGTTAAGTTTTATATTATGTAGTAGAATCTGTAAAATTCTTATGTTATGTAAACAGAGAAAAAAAGGAAAAAAAAAAAATGCAAATGTTCCAATTATGGCGCTGTTCAATTAAGCCAACTCTCCCCTAATGTTATGTGTGTGCAGTTTTTAAATTTGATTGATTTTTAAAGAATTACTAGAACATTAAAATATTTTAGAGATATGAGTCACTAAATAAAGTCGTAGTCAAAAGTCATAATTTACCTGCGGCATACAGATATCAGCTGAGATTGGAAACGAAACGATACTTGATTGTCATTCTCACCAAGGTCTCGTTTATTACGATTTAGCTTTTTTAGAGTTTTTTCTTCATAAAAATGTTTTTCTTGAATCTTTGCAAGTTGGTTTTTTAATAATGTAAAATTAAAATTAATGTCATTTGCATACCGGACGCGATTGAAACTCTTGAGATGAAGAAGTTTGTCGACAAACAAACTTTTTTGAAAGTTTTCGAGTTGAATTACACGTGCTTCTAAAATAAGTTGACGTTCTGACCAAGATTGTATTGAAAATAAAATAAAAAGAAATCCACAAATTGATGCTAAAATGACTAGAATCAGAGATGGTTTACAAGTTTTTCCATTACAAGTTTGACAATTTTTTTCCATAATCCGGAACTATTTTTTAACTTTGAAAAGCACTGTTTAATTCATTTAATTATGTTTATATATTGTAGATAGTTAAAAATAAAATTTGAAATGTAATCCTTTTCTTAAAATCTTTTTACATTATGTCCAGTATAAATTTATTTTTGACATTTACAACCATGATTGTATTACATATATATATGTCACCGGAAACTTCCTTATTTCTTTTAATATCCGTAGTGTAAATGGACATCTTAGATTCCAGATCCTCCAAATATATCATACTACTCTTATTAATAATTAACAATAAAACAGTGATTTAGATTTAAGTACGATATGGGAAGAAAGAGTGTAAGCTGTAAGTAACAGTGTAAGACTGTTTTTTAATAAACTTTTAAAATATGATCGAGTATAAAACAATGTTTATACAATAAAAGCAAACAAGAATAAAAATATTATCTTCGAATGTTTTTTCAATTTAAGTATAAAAGATTTTTTGCACCATTTTAAGTACATTAAGAATTTTTTTTTTTATTTTGGAATTTGAGATTTCAGAGAGAAAAAAGCTTTTTAAGTGTGTAAAATATAAAATAATAAGTATTAAACATTTTTACATGAAAATTTACAATCAAAAAATGTCTTTAAACACTTGCTAAAAACACTCGCTAAAAACACTCGCTATACGTCAAAAAAAGTACTGTCAGTTATAAAAAAATGTGGTCAAAAAGAAAATTTAATCTTTAATTACTAGCACTTGTGAAAAATAAAATTTAAAAACAAAAAGTTTCTTTATCAAAAAAATAGTTGTTTGAAAATGATAGTAATATGTCTCCAGCTAACAAAATCTCTTGTACTCAAGAAAAAGTGTTGAACAAGTTTGGCTTTATAAACTTTTCCTCGTAAAAAAACACTTGTTAAACAACATTCAACTTAACTTAGATGTACCGCTAAACCGAATGAAATTTGATCTAATTTATTTAAAATTAATTTTTATGGTTGACTTATTTTTTTTTTAACATTTATAAACTGTTTCTTTCATTCTTTTTTTAGATGAAGTCTCTAACCAATAACTTTATTATGTTATTAAACTTTATTATGCTAATATAGACTGTTAATTTAACAACTTGAAATCTGAATAAAGTGTTTATTCTCTTTTCCTTTATTTTTAATCAACGTTTTTGTATGCGTTGTACTGCGACATCAAGTAAAACTCATATAAAACTGTTGTATGGGTTGTATTTTTTTTTTTTAGCTCATTTAATTATCAAAAATTTATTTATAAATAGATAATATATAACAAGGAATTGTGGGTTTAAAGTTAAAAATGTTAATTTAAAGTATAGTTAAATCTGTCATTTAGAAAAGGACACAAGTTTGATAATTAAAGCTTTTCAAAAACAACGAAACTTTTATCTTTTTAAAAAACGTATTGAATGTAATATAAAAAAATGTGTTAACGAAACTAAACATAGAAATAGATAAATAAAAAATATATAATTTTTGTCAATTTTTAATTAAAATTTTTAAACTAAGTGTGAAAAGTTATGAACTTGTGTCCTTTTCAAAATGATAGGTTCAGTTGACAAAGCGATGCGTCCATGCATCACTAAAACAGGGCGTTTTACTAAAATAAATCTCTCGGTGTGGCTCAAGCCACGTGGAATTATGAATTCCACGTGGCTTTGATTGTCTATTTTAGATTTAAAAACATCCAACAATGGAGCAGAAACAGAACGTTATAAAAGAGCATTACATTTATTAGCAACAGGGTTCGTAAAAAAAAAATTTTCAATGAGACAAGTGAGTCAAAATATAAAGCTGTGTGGTTCAAATTATCATTAATTAGACTCTTAAGTTGTATTAAATCTCTTTAATATCTTGTTAAAATTTATAATTATAAATTTTTGAACCATACAACTTAAGAGATTAATTATAATAATTTGAACCACACAACTTTAAATTTTGACTTGATTGTCTCATTGATGAAAAATATTTATAAATGTTGGTAAGTTTTAATTGTAAAACTTGTTTCCGAAGAAACTAAAGATTTGAGTATCTTTTTTAGAACTTTTATTTTAGATAAATTAACAATGGTAAACTTAAAAACAAACAGAAATACGATAATCATATACTCATCTAGCATAGTTAATTCTATATGAAGATATGTTTGCGGTGATTTAGATGATGATCAAATGAGATAGCGGTGATATAATGAGATAACGGTGATATATGGAGATAGCGGTGATTGATTGAGATTGCGGTGATTGATTAAGATTTACTTATTATCGGTTATTATATCGATATAATACCGGTAAGTTTTGACCCGGTTGAATGATTGTCATACATTATAATAACAATTATTTATGAAAACAAAATTGTGTAACCATATATAATTGTGTAACCATACATTTTCTAATTTCTTTATTTTATTGTTAATAGTTTTTCCCAAATATTTTTTGAAGATTGAATTGTCTTTTTGTTAAACCACTAAAATTTAAGATCTTGTTATTTGGAGTTGCAGATGTAAATTTATTTTAACAAATAAATCTATTTTATCGCACATGTTAAAAATAAAGTTTTAAATTTAGTAGAGCAAACACATTTAAAGTTTTAACAAAATTTTTTACTTATATTAAACCTAATCGTAAAAAAAATTTTTTTTTTACAAGTATATTTACTATAAGTTTACTTGTAAAAAAAATATATAAACCTGCTTGTAAAAAAAGTATAAAAACCTACTTGTAAAAAAAAGTATAAAAAACTACTTGTAAAAAAAATATATATAAATCTACTTGTAAAAAAAAAAAAAAATGCTCACTTATTTGTCTATTGTTATATTACATGTACAGTAAGTCAATAAATTAAATTGCTTCCAAAAGAACAACTAAACAATCTACGCACTCGCGGAAGTTTCCGCGAGTGTGCACATATTCTAATGTTGATTCAAGTCAGTCTTGCTATAAATGAACGTATGTTATTGATAAAATATATTTGTAATCCTAGCAGTAAAAATATATTTCTAACCCTAAATTATTTATCCAATTCTAAAATATTTTTTTTATTTAAATTCTTTTTGAACAATTGCCAAATTTCATGTCATTTCTGAGAATCTTGAAATAACTGTATCATGGTTTAAATGTATCATGAATAGAAATTGAGAGTCATAATAAAATAGCAGTAATATTAGTTTTACTTTTAAAAGTTAATGAAAAAAAAAAATGTCACTTTAGTTTTATTTTCAACCCAGAAGCCTTGCAGAACATAGATAATAGAAAACCACATAATTTAAACAATTTTTTCAACACTAACATGGTTAGCTGAAAAATTTTTTTTTAATCAAATTTAAGATTATCTACAGCAATAACATTAATGATTGGCAATTAGCTTTTATTAGCCGGTAAATTAGTGACAGAGGTCTTTGACTTGGTTTGTTGGCTTTGCCCCTGTTTTGTATTGACAAGTTTTTATAAGTTTTCATAATTTAACTTACTAATGGTATCAGTAATCATTTCTGATTTTAGTTTTTATTAGTGATTTACTAATGAATTTTTATTTATTTGACCAAAGCATAAGATACCCTTAATAAGAATAAAAATCCTAATAAAATAGGATTTCAACTTCCAAATAACAGAAACTGACACATAATCTTAAAAAGAGAAAAGGTTACAAAGTTTTTTAGTGGCAAAAATCTGCATATAAACTTAATGTTTTTAATAATTTAGAAAATATGTCATCAAACGTATTTCTTTACAGTTCAAAACCTAAAAATAAATCTTTATGTTAATAACAACAAAAAAGAAAACGAATCAGTTTTATGTTCCTTATCTCCGGAACAAAATAGTTTTACAAAAGAAAACGAACCAGGCTCTCATAGAAACCAATTGATCGCAAAATAAGCAATTATTAAGGTTCTCTTTGTTGTACTCGCCATTATTTTAATCCTTTATACTCTACAAATCTTTTAATCGTCTCTGTATATAATACTGTTGTTATATTTCGGCTGGTTTTTCTAATGATGCTTATTCTCTTTACACTTACAATGCGTTTTTAGACACGGTTCAAAAACACATTTTGAGCGTAGTTTGACCGGTTGAGCGTAGTTTGACCGGTTTTATCTACCAAGCTTGAGCCTCTCTCCCATCGTCATAAAGTTGCATCTATTTCTTTTTTTTATAAATACTATCATGGTTGTTTCTCAAAGGAGTCATTATCTTTTGTTCCATAAATAAAAATCGTTCTCGCTTAAATCGTCATTCAGCAGCGATTTGCCGTATCCTTTAACTGTTTATGTCATGCTCAATGAAATTTAATTAATTTGTTTTTTTTCACCTCAATGCTTCGGAACTCTATCCCATCTTTATCTTTTCCTGACTTATACAACCTATGACGTTTTAAGTCAGCCGTTTCCTTGCTTTTTAACACTATTCTTTCTTATCAAGTAATATCCAACTTAATAGTGGCTGCCTGCAGCTATGTTGGTAGTGAATTAATTTGTTATTAAAATATATATATATATATATATATATATATATATATATATATATATATATATATATATATTTGTATAAGTAACTACTCGATGTAGTTAAGGCGATTTTAAAATATTATAGCGCTTAAATGATACTTTGGTGACGGCATATTTCCGTTAAAGATCAGGTCTGTGAATTATGAAATAAAAAAATATAAAAAAATATAAAAAGGCAAAATAAATTTTAATTATTAATTTTGCCGTAACATAAAGTAAAAATGTTTGTTGGGAAAAAACGCAGGCTAAAGATTTTATAAAAAAAAAAAAAAAAAGAACTTATTAAAATCACGATTGCTTGTCCAAGCTTGAATAAGATTTTAAATAAAAACGCTGTTTGGTAAAATGAACATCATATTTTTTTAATATGATCTGTTCTGATTGTTGGCAATTTTTCTTAATCAGAAATGATCTCAGAGTCAAAAAGACTCTAATATGGCTTTTTCTCTTTAGATTCACAATTAGGGGTAATAAAAAAGTTTTGAAAATTATATAAAAAAGAAAAAAGTTTTTTTAAACAATATAAAAGCTTGAAGCAAAAAAATTAAAGCACCTAAAGATCTTATTTGGTCATAATACGTTGACAAAATCATTATAATTCCAAATAAAAAAAATTCGAATAATTTTTAAATCGCCTTAACTACGCCGACTAGTAAAGGCAGGCCGACGACACGAGTTTCAAAGAGGCACAATCATCAATTTAAAAAAAAAGTCTTCTAGATCTAGAATTTTCTTAAAAAAAAAAAGGCCTTCAGAAAAAAAGTGGGAAAGGAGGGGGGGAAGCAAGTGCCCCCCGGCCCTCCAGGTGTCACCGGTTCTGAAGAGCATCATGATAAAATCCTAATAAACTTCTAGATATCCTTCTATCTTTCCGTTGCTAATATATAAAATGTAAAACATACCTGGCATTGATTATAACAGTTTTAAAATCCGCAAAATTTATAAATTTTAAAAAAATGTATAAAAAAACTTAAAACATTTCATGTTTCTTTTCAGGATTCCAAAAAACTTGTTGAAATACTTAACTTTTTAACTTCAACTTTATGTTGAAGGTACTACGCGTGGTTCGGAATGCAAAAGGCCGACATTGAAAAAAGAAAATTGTGTTTTACAATTTATAGTCTTAAAACCTTTCTTTAACAATAATTGTTTAGCTAAATTATAATATGTTTAAAAAGTTTTCAAATTTTTTTTTTCTCATACAAATTTTTTTATATTAGATGGTCCTAAATAGCTTAATTAAAAAGGTAATTGAATTGAGAACGTGTGCTTTTAATAATTACCTAAAATTAATATTTCTCAGGTTTATCTTTTTCTTTCATTATCTTTTCTTTTTATATATAGATTAGTTTATATAATATGTATTTATGTGTTATATATATATATATATATATATATATATATATATATATATATATATATATATATATATATATATATATATATATATATATATATATATATATATATATATATATATATATATATATATATATATATATATATATATATATATATATATATATATATATATATATATATATATATATATATATATATATATATATATATATATATATATATATATATATATATATATATATATATATATATATATATATATATATATATATAGGTATGTTACAAAAAAATTTGAATTGATTAATTACTAAATTGTTATATATCATTGGAAAGAGCTTTAGTATAGTATTTTAATAGTGAAAAAATTATCAAAATCGAACCATTCGTTCAAAAGTTATGACAGTTTAAGTACCGATTTTTCGATATATGGATTTGTTGAAGAAACTGTGGTCAAAATTAAGTTTTTCTTTGCGTAAATTGTTATAATTTTGTCAGTATAATTATGTCATAAACAATAAGTATTTTAAATGCATTTAAGCATATAGCTTGAGCTATCAAGTTTTATTGTAAAGTTTAATGTTATTTTTAGTAATTGTAATCATTTCTATGCAGGCTGAAAAAACAGGAATTAACTTATTTTAAAAAATGATTTTCCCAAATTGTTTAGTTTTTACAAATCTAATTTATTAATTAAATACTACTAAATTGAAAATTTAGTTTTTACTACTAAATAGAAAATTTAGGCTGCTAAATTGAAACAAGGGGCTTTGTAAAGATCAAATACTAAAACTAAAAAAGCATTTGGAACATTTAACTAAAATCACTACCTTTGTTTAGCACTTAAGCTAAACTTCATATAATTAAAACTATAAAATCTCTTGTAAAGTCTATTACAAAAAAATGTTTCTGATAAACTTTGACAAATTTGTTGATTGTACTTACTACAATAACATAAAAGATTTTTAAAGAGCAACTCTCTAAATACTTTTTATAAAAAGTAAATATTTTTAGATAAGGAGACTAGTGAAAACCAAATACAAAAGTTCACACAGTTGAATGTAATACTGTAAATTGTTATAACTGTCATAACTACTGTAAATATGCACACAACATATTGAATGTAAATACTGTAAATATGCATGTATATATGCATTATGTGCATAATGTAATTATGGTTTACAAATTACATGGTTAATAAATTACATGGTTTACAAATTGCACCTTCTGCTAAATGATAAAGTTTTGAGTTACATTTTAGCGTGAAGGAATATATATATATATATATATATATATATATATATATATATATATATATATATATATATATATATATATATATATATATATATATATAAAATTACTATTATATACTTCAATACAAAAGTATACACAAAATGTCTTACCTGCATACCCATTTTTTATAATGACGTTTCGAATAAACCCAGGTTGTTCCTCATACCAAGGATTGCTTATATAAACCATTACATTGGTAAATTCTGTCGGGCTAATATTTTCAACAGAGTAAAGTAAATTTTCTGCAACCCACAAGTTAAACACATTTGTTTTCCACATGAATCAATGAATCCACATGAATACAAATTTTATTTGTAAACCATGTAAATTATTTGTAAACTATGCATTATGCATTATAGTAAATATTGATATGTGCTTAAGAATAATCTCAAGATTTTAATAATAATAAATTTTTATAGGGTGAAACGTGTAACCCTGAGTATATGTTTTTTTTGTGTATTATTCAATAAGGTTTGCAATAAAGCATGAGCACTGATAAAAAAAAGCACAGATGTGATGAAGAAAATTCTAATGAGGCTCTGGTAGTTAAGAAGAAAAAAAAGTCAAGTACTGAATGCGATTATGATAAAAAATTTAACGATAGGGATGATACTACAGAAAATTATCAAGATAGTTCAGAGGCAACAGAGAATAGCACTAAAAAGAAAAAAAAATCCAAAAAATCTAAAAAAGAAGAAAAGAGTGACATAAAAAAAAATGATAGTGTTTCTGAAGAATGTAAACCAGATAAAAAAAAAAATAAAAAAAATTCAGAACACTCAGAAGAAAACTTGAAAGAGTCTAAAAGTTCTAAATCAAGTGAAGAGGATGAATCAAATTTAGAGGTAGTTTTTTATGTTATAATTTTATTATTATATATATTATTTTTTTATTATTGATTTTACTTATAAATCTGGCACTGTTTCAGTTGCCTACCCCTATCATTTTATGATTGATTATGATGGAGAATTTTATGCTGGTTAGGAATTGTAGAAAAACATAGACCTGAAAATTTGAGGAAAGTACTCTAATTTAATGTTAAAGTTTAAAATGTTAAACTAAAAATGCTAATATTGCCATCTTTTTAAAAACATCATTTGATTGGTTTTAATTTAGAAATCAATTGTTTAGAAAATCTTTTTTTTTTTAAATTATGCGACTCGGTTTTTATTGTCGTCATTATTGAAATTTATTTAAATTTAGTTAAATATTTAATAAGTATATATTTTTTTTTAAATAAAAAAATCTTTGAGACAACTTTTTAGATGTACATACATCGACTGACCAATAGAGATTGGTTCATACATCGACTGACAAATAGGAATTGGTGTAAACAAAACTACATGGTTATGGCCAGGCTTAGGGTTAGGCTCAGAATCAATTAAAAACTAATCAGTTTTGCTTTAAATAGTTTTGCTTTAAAGTGTTAATAAAAAAATGGCTATTTTTAAGTTACCAATAAAAAGAATCTAATCATATTCAAGTATGAAGAAAAAGGCAATTATTAGCGATTAATTGCACAAAATTCTCTAATGAAATCAATCATAAAATGATAGGGATAGGCAACTGAAACAGTGCTATGAATCTTTTATGAGCAAGACATTTATAAAATATAAATTTACATCCTAGATTCTCAGCACAACTTTGTCTCATGTTTATTTCACAATTTTTTTTTTTTTTGTCTTGTTTTGCAAGATTTGTGAAGTCTTGTTTAATAAGATCTGTGTTCCAAGGTTGAATTATTCACATACAAAAAGATCTAACAAGTATCATTTACTAAACATAAAGAAAACCTGTAATTTATTAAGTATTTTAACAATTTTTTTAACATGCTTATTTTGAGTATCTGTTTTTAAAAATTTATTTCTTTCATTTCATTTATATTAAGCATATTATATTTCTGGATGTTTTTTGTTATTAATTTGAAAAAAAAATTTATATATTTTTACATAAAATTTTAAATATGACCACTTGCATTTAAACAAATGTTTTCTATAATTAAAATTTTTATGAAATCAATTTTTTTACTTTTTTTTTTTTTTTGCTTTTTAATTCATTCAAATTAACTTTTTCGGATATTAGAAATTCCTTTTTGTAAAAAGTTAAATATTCTAAATTCCGTTTTAAAAGTTTACGAAGGTTTTTGTTGTCTGTTACAGGGTTATTCATTCTTATATGCGCATCTATTCAATTTTATATGGATATTTATTCATTCTTACATGCGTTTTAAAAAAGCAATAAAAAATAAAAAAAAAAATCATTCAAGCATTTTGTTTTTAAAAAACAATTTACTTTTTTCAAAACAAATTTTTCTTATTTCCTGGTACGAGGTTAAAAATACTTAAAACGAAGACTTTTTACATTCCATGATGGTTTATTTAATTTAGTATCAGGTCTTTGTTTAATTTTATTACATTATTAAATTTCTTGATTGATTAAATTATTATTTATCTAATTATTCATTTATATAAATTTAAATATAATTATTTAGAATTATTATTAACATATCTATATAAAAATTTAAAAGCCTATTTATTGTTTATATTAAATTATATTAGAGATTTTATGGGTGGTTGACTCGCATATAAATGTGCATATAAGAATGAATAAATACGCATATAAGAATGAATAAATGCGCATATAAGAATAAATAAACACGCATATAAAAATCAATAGACACGCATGTACAAATGAATAACCCTGTAAAACGATCAATTTTTAATTAAATAATTTTCCGGGGTTTTTTATTTAAAAAATTCCAGGATTTTCAAAAAGTCAAATACTCATCTATGATCCTTGCTGACTGAATACAGTATTTTAAAGGTGAAAAAATTATTGAAATTCAACATGCAGTTTAGATTCTCACATGTCATGTCAAAGCATTTTATTTAAATGGAACAGTTTCCTAAATTACATTTTTGTAGTGGTAATATGATTGATTCTTTTGTGTTAATATGCAAGTGGTGTTTTGTTGTTGTTGGTTTTTTTTTTCTTGTTCTATGAATGGTCAATTTTATTTACACAACTTATTATTTGCTTCCATTATTTTTAGTAATGATTTTAAGTTAAGATTTTTATGATTTTTTCCAAGTTTGATTTGTTACTTCTTTGCATCTTCAATGCAACTTGATGTCTAGCAGATTCCTTGTGAACATATATTTTCTTTCATAGCAAACTTAGCTGCAGCTGTCTATTTTTTCACCATAATAAGATACTTCATTATTAGACCATTCTTTATATATTTTCATTCCCACTCAAGTGTTTTACTTGGTAGAAAACAGAAAATTTGTCAATGATATGATAAAAATTACTGTCACAAATTAAGAATATTATCATAAATTATTACTAAGTAGCTTTAGTTTTGCTAACAGCTCAGAAGCAATAAATTTTGAAATGTGACGTTGTAATGTTTTCAAATTTGCAAATATTGTGTCTGAGGGTGTCTTCACCATTTAAATTATAGCAAAAACATTTCTTTTATATTAAGAGTAAAAAAATTGACTATTCATATAAAAAAAACTTTTTTGTTTGGCTTTTTAAATTGAAATACTTATCAGAAATCTTCTTGGCTCTTATCCCATTCAATTTTGTTGATTAATAAAAAAGTGTGTTTTTGTTTGCTTTTCTTTATAAGGCATTTCAAATTGAGTTTCCTTTATCGAAGTTTTGTTGGGTGTTTGATATTGTTTTCTAGTGTGTTGATTGGGGTTTTATTTATGGTTTGCCTTCTTTGTAGTGGCAATCCAATTCTTTCTTTTATTTCCTTGTAGGTAGATAACAGAAAGAGTTTTATATACTGCTCCAAAACTCAGTTTATTGGCTCTGAGGCTGACTAGTAGTAAGATTTCCTTAACTCTGGGTATCTGTCTGAAAGGCTGTTTCCATCAACAGCTGTAAAATTTCAGGCTGTTAACAATGTTATGTTGCAGCTATTCTTTTAAACGCTTTTGCTTAGCACCTTTTAGCGCAATCAGCTTTTTTGTTTGTTTGTTCTTTATTGGTCTTTTACTCCCCAAGACTGTACTCTTTTAAATGTTGTTTCTAATCAAGTTTTTCAAATCCTTTCTCTTTGTGACTTTGATGGTCATTTAACTGAAAAGTTTGGCTCTAGTACCCAGTACTCTAGTACCACTGACTCAGCTGGCCCTAACTTTTTTGTCTTTCTTAATCTCATACTCAGATAGATAATTTTATAACTCATTTTTCAGTCAACTCTAATCATTTGCCTTTCTGAGATAAATACATGATTTTGTAATCTGATGATAATTGACCTTAGCATCAGGAAGTACCTTTTTGCATTGATTTCTTACAATAATAATAATAAAAAATTTCTCCAGAGAGTTATTCTTGCAGAAAAGATGAAAAAAATTAATATTTCAAAATGTAAACAGCAACAAGTATTTCACTAAATCTTGTTTTTGTACCTGCTATGCATCTCTAGTTTCAATTTTTAGAGACTCTGGAGATCACTCTTAACCCATTAACTTGAGCCCAATTTTTTCAAAACTATTAAATAATTCCTTTCTAACCACAGCGAGGGGCTATTTTAGGAAAATAGTTTGGGCAATGGTACCCCATGCGGTGGCTGTTGCAAAAAAATTTGTTGCCCAAATATGTTTAACACTGTGAAAAAAGGTCAATAATACCTACTGTCACAAAAAACAACACTTTTTCACTTACAGTAACTTTTTCATTTACAGTTTCTTATATCACTTTTGAAACAGCTTGGGGTTTGTAGTGGCTGGAGATTTTAACCTAAATCAGGGTAACCACTGGTCTTGGAAATTATGGAAATGTCATGGAATTTTATTTGGTCAAGGAAAAAGTCATGGAATTCCTAAATTTTCATTGAAAGTCATAGAAAATTCATGGAACTTTTTAAAATGATCTTTATTTTTTTCTGCTTGTGATATTTTTAGGATGAAAAAAAAAGTACTAGTATGTTTAGTCTTTTTTGAATAAGATATTTTTGCACTGTAAGACTATCAGAGAAGTAAAAGAAAAAGAGTTTTTCTCAGACACGATTTCTGAACTTTCTACCAAATGCTTAGTACATGGCAAGTACTGAGTAATTTACTCGTTAGTGGTTTATCATAAAAATTTATGAAGAGTCATGGAGAAGTCATGGAAAAGTAATGAAATTTCATTTTCAAATTTGAGTGGCTGTAAATAGAACACTGTTGCGTACTGCTAATAATTCCCACTATATTGTTGATATTTCTATATTGATAGGGTTAAGCAAATTTGGAAGTAATTGTATGCCTGGTGGAATCATATGCTTTCAACAATGCTAAACGGAGTTGGATCAGAAAGAAAGAATCAGACTGCGTCATGGTCATTTTCACAAGGAGTGCTGTCTACAGCAGCTTTTATCTGTAATACATTGAAGAGAAAGAGTTTATTATAAAAAATAAATTACAATCCTGAGCGTTTGTCATTAGACGAATGTTACATCTTTGTAGAAATTCTAAATAGCAACAAACAAATTTATGAATAAACTGCAGTCTTAGCTGTCCTAGTAAAAATTGAACATTTTTACTAAAGAAGCTAAGTTTTGTCTGACAATATTATTGCAGTAGAAGACAACCCCAAATATAAATATAATAATATGGAAATTCTACTGTAATTTTTGTGCGCTCACTACTTGACAGAAGATTAAATTAATTAAATCATCTTTAAAAGAATCAAGACTTTCAGTTGTTTGTTTTCAAAATTAGGATCCTTGCCCTGTTATTTAATTTTGAAGGATCATTTTGAATGTAAAATATTTTTTCCTATAAGAAAGAAAGTTGTCTATATAATATGTGTTAAATGCGCAGACTTCACTAATTACCTGAGTATATTA